CGGTACGGTACGGTACGGTACGTACGGTCGGTACGGACGGTACGTACGCGCGNGGTGACNCGCGNCGAGCGNGNGNGNGAGGCGNGGGGGGGGGACCGGGTCCATGGAGGCCACAGGGCACGTAGATCGAGCAAGTGCAGGGGCCGGCCGGCGAGATTAGAGGAGAATGCCCAAGGATCCAGAATCACCCGTGACCGAGGGAGAAGCGAGGGGCAGGCAAAAGCGAAAGCGGGGCCTGCAGATGGACGCGTCAGAGGCGACTTTGGGCGCCGCCCGCGGGGATCGCTACTGCTGCGTCGCGACAAAGGCGGCCGTGTCGCGCGCGCTCCTCAGCTCGTCGAGGCCCTGCCGGTAGCCCACCAGGGCGGGCACCGAGTGGAGCAGCCTCGACAGGCCATCGAGGCACGTGTCGAGGTGGCCCAGCGTCGCGTTGAACTCTTCCACGTCGCGGGGCACGGCCAGCAGCTGGTCCCACACCTCGTCGTGCAGCTGCTGCGCCGCCAGCTTGAGCGCGTCAGCGAGGAGGAGCGGGTATGGGTGGCGCCAGGGCGCCGAGCCGGACTCGTCGACGGGGCTCGGCGTGCCTCGGTTCGAGCCCGGGCTGGCGCTGCTGGCCGACCAGGTGCGCTCCAGCTGGCTGCTCTCGAGGTTCATCAGCCGTGTTACCCGCGCCATCCCCATGGCCGCTTGCTTGCCCACCATGCGCCGGATTTGCGACGAGGGGGCCAGCTTGGACCGAAGCGGCGTGAAGCCGTTGGGCGGCTGGCCGAGGTTGGCCGGCTGTCCCAGGTTGGCCGGCTGTCCGAGCTTGGCATTGATCGGAGGTGACTGGCTGGAGGCAGTCTCGGGCGACCCGGCAAAGGGGTCTGCGCCAAAGATGCTCGGGGCAGCCGTCGTCGCCGGAGGCAGACCATTGACGGAAAGGTCTGCGCCGAGGCTGAGGTTGTTGAACTGCTGCACCAGGTCGACCTCCTTTTGCTCGAGATCCTTGGTGAGGCGGATAAAGTGGAGCACGCCAAGATGGATGTGCAGGACAAACATGGCTGCAGGGGAGAAACGCGCGGAGCGACAGCAAGGTAAGCGCTCGCTTTTGGTCAGCGATCACCGTCCGAGCCTGGTGGGCGGAAACTGCCTGCGAGCCACGCGCACAGCGGCGGCTACTCACACAACATGCTGCGGGCCTGTCGGGTGAATCCAAAGTAGTCGTCGAGCGCCTTGGAGATGAGCCCGTCAAAGATCGAGTGGAAGAGCCGGATCGACTCGAGCACATTGTCCACCAGCTTCTCCTTCTTGTCATTGACAAACGTGCCGCCGCCGCTGATGTAGGCGTTGATGGGCGACGTGGCAGACAGCAGCGGCGCTGAGAGCGTCTGCAGCGCATTGATTCGTCTCCAGATGTAGACCTCGACCGCGGTGCCCCACGCGATGCCCAACAGCACCACCTGCTCGCTCAGGTTGTGGGAGCCGCCGCCGAGCGAGAGGAGCGACGACGGGGTCCGGTCTCCGCCGTTGCCGTCGCTTCCCAGCAGTACGTCAAAGGGGATCGACTTGCTAATGGCGCCGGGGTTCCTCAGCAGCGCCGGGATCATGTCGCGGGCGCAGGCGGCGCGCTCCAGGATCCGCTTCGACATCTCGGTGTCGACGACGATGCCGCCATCTTCGTCGTTGCTGACCTCGTGCAGGTACGACGAACCCGTGCCCGGAAATGCGCCTGGAGGAGCTTGCCGCCCGGGCAGCAGCTCCAACGTGTCCTGGATGGCGAACAGCGCCGCGGCCGTATTGTCGGGCGACGAGGCGGACTTGGAGCTCGATGTGGGAGAGGAGCCGGTACCGTACCCGCCAAAGAGGCTCGTCTCGAGCCCAGACGGCTTGCCCAGCAGGTTGTCCTCGCGCATCACCGACTTGCGCCTCAGCGAGACGCTCGACACCGTGTCGATCAGCAAGCCGAACCATCCAAGCGATTCGGCCAGGCCTTTGAGGTCCGAGGCCATCTGCTTCTGCCGGAGCACCTGCGGGTGGTTCTGCAGGACCGGATTGCGCGACGTGTCATCGACGGCCCTCTCGAGATCCCTCGCCGCCTGGATGTACCACTCGAGATGCCGGGAGGCGGTCTCAAAAGCGAAGGCGGCATCCTCGGTGGCGTTGGTGCCCGAGTTGACGCCGCCATCGGCGAGCGCACCGGCCGGAGGCGCGGTGACGGCGAACAGGAAAAGACCAAATGCGATCCTGCACGACCTCCGCGGCGCCAGCTGCAGGAGCAGCGACCTTGCCTTTTTCCAGGCGGCCGTAGCGACGCGGTCGTGCGCCTCGATTGCCTTGGCCTCCTCCATTGTGCTCGCCGGCCCAGCTCCCGGAAAGGATCCGCCATCGAGACGGTACTGGCAGGCGTAGGCCAGCATCGCCGCCTTGACGGCCTCGTCGACCGAGGCATCGCGGCTGGACCACATCCAGCCTCCTGGGCCATTGCCGGTGAGGCTCTCGAGCCGCTCGTGGAACTCCTTGGTGGCCGTCTCGAGGGCTTCCTCTGCCTGCTGAGCGTCTGCCGCCGTCAACTTCTTCTTCTGGCCCGAGGGGAGCGCGGCCACCTTGCGGTTCCAGAGGTTCATCTCTTCGCCCAAGTGATCGAGGCCGAAGACGAGGAAGAACAAGTTGGGCTGGTGGTCCTTTTGCGGCGAGGGCGAATCGACGTGCCACGACGCCCACAGCTTCTGAGACATGTCGAGCGAGTGGCTCGCCACGGCGCGCTTGATAAAGGCGCCGAGGTCGCCCTCGGTGCGCAGGGGCGAGCACGCCCTCGACAGCCAGAGGTTGGCGTTGGGCTCGACGGTCGAGACGTAGAGGCGCATGCGGTCGGTGGTCAGCGAGAGCGAGTCGGCTCGATCGGCAAAGCGGCCGTTGGCGCCGTTCCAGGAAAGCGTCAGCGCTGTGCCATTGCTTCGTTGGATCAAGTCGCGCATCGTTGACCCGGCCTCGGATGACATCGAGCCCGAACGAACTTCGACAGGCGACTGGCCGGGCGAGACGATGCGCTTCTTGGTCGAGCCGCCCGCAGCCGGGCCGAGGCCGGTAGTGGCCTCGGCCTCCTTGATCGCCTGCGCCTGCTGTTTGCTGCATCGCACCGAGTCGGCAAAGTGCGTCGTGCACTCGATGCCCCTCCGCTGACAATTGGAGCAGACCGGGGAAGACTTTTGCCCACCCTCGGTGTCGGAAGGGTCGGCCTTCCTCTTGGCTCCCGCAGACGAGTCGGCACTGCCCCCCGCCGACTGGGTCACATCGTTGCCGTCGGCGTCGAGCTTGAGCTGGAAGTCGCAGCCCCTCTTTGACGCTCGGCACTGGTCGCAACTGATGTTCTGTCTCCGTCGCGTCCTGCGCCGCGAGGCCGGACCCGACTGCGACCCCGAGGCGCCAGGAGCACCGTTGCCGGACGCCGCCTTTGACGCGTCGTACTGGGCGAAGCCGCCGCCGTCGCTCGACCCGATGTGGAACGCATCCGAGTGCGAGCCGAGCGGCAACGAGGGCGAGGCGCCGTCGAAGGAGTGGTGACGATTAGGCAGGGTGCCGGGGCTCGGTCCATCGTGGTTCGAGGCTCGTCCGTAGTCGTCGTGGTTGGGCGGCGGTGGTGGCTGCTGGGCTGCCCAGGAGGCAATGGCGGAGTGATCGATTGGGTGGCCTTGCTGCGGCAGGTGCTGTTCGAGGGCAAAGTCGGATAGGAACGCCTCCTGGCTGGCGTCAAAGAACTGTTCGATGCCATTGCCATCGTGCTGGTGGCCGTTGAGAGGGTGTGGGTGGTGCTGCTGGGGAGGCTGGTGCGGGTCTGCGGCAAAGACGTGCTGGTACTGGTCGAGGGAGGAGAGGTTGATGGCGTCGAACATGTCGTTCTGCATCCTGTCCCGGGGTGCGAGCAGCCGGCGAGGAGCCGGTCAGCGTAGGGGTCTGCGGGTGAAGGACTCGCTCGGTGCTGGGTGCTGGGTGTTGTAATGGGACGATAGGCTGGGTTTGGGTGTGGGAAGGGGGAGGCGGGGTTGGATGCGATGGTGGCCGGCGCTTGTCGAGGGAGCTGGGGTCCGTGTGGGTTGGTGTGCGACGCTAGCAATAGAAGGAAGCAGTCTTGAGCGTGGCAGGCAGGTTGGGAGAATACAAGCTAGGCGCGAGGTGCTGGTGAATGAGCCACTACTGTGCTGCTTGCAAGGGACAAGGAGCTTAAGTCCGGTCCATGATCGTCGCCGCCGGTGGCGAGAAGAGTTCTGGCTGGCTGACGGGCTCGGTGGATTTGAACGAGGGGAGTGCCTTGCGCTGCGAGTGGGCGGATGGAGGCGGTGGCGGTGGCGGTGGCGATGACGATGGCGATGGTGGCGCTAAGAGGGATCTCGGAATGTCGGCAGGGATGGGCGACGAGGTGGTGGAGAGGGGCGAGAGGAGGGTCGACGACGTGGTAGCGCGGTAGAGAAGGCGTGAAAGGCCCGTGGCTGCCTTTGGGCGACTTGACTAGAGGGCCGAGCAGTGGAGCGCCAGGTTGGGGGGGCCCACAAGATCCAGCGGGGCAGCAGCAGGCCAGCGCCATACGCGGAGCGCCAAAGCCACCTCACCTCACCTGTGGCTGGTCTGCCTCGACTCGTCACGAGCCAGGCCGAGGGCAAGGGCAGCTGCTGGGGATGGGCGCTGACAGCCAGGCCCCCCGAGGGCCCAGCAGCAGCCTCGACCTGGCCGCGCCGCGCCGCTCTGCTCGCATGCAGCCCCACGCTTTAATTTTTTCCAAATCGGCTGGCTCGCCCCCTTTGTATTCTTATTCCGTCGATTCCCTCGTCCAGCCTCGACCAATACAACGAACGAGCTCTCTGGTTTCCAAGCTTCGGGCCCAGCTCGTCGAGGGGCAGCGGCACGGCAGAAGGGCAGGCAGGCAGGCAGGCGAGGCAGCCGCCGATTTCCCCGCATTTCTCTTTCCCTGGCCTTCTGGCACCCCAGCAACCAGCCAGCCAGCCACTCTGCTGCCAGCCATTTTTCACGGAACGAGACGCCGGTCAGCTGCTTGCCTGCCTGGCCTGGCTGGGCTCCACCCACGCCGTCTTTTTGGCCGGCCCGAATTGAGCTCGCGCGCGCGCACGGCCAAGAGCCAGCAGTCCAGCAGGCCTTTCGACGCTCGGATCGCCTACGCCTCGTCCGCCAGCCGATCTTCTTCGGCATCATCGAGACAATCAGGAGAAGGCGTCAAATGGCGGTCCGGGCGAGCTCAGAGTGGTCGACGCCACGAGCCCGCAAATGAAGACGCACGCAACGCCAGATCCAGATCCAGAGATATCGTCAGTGTCGAGGAAATAAGGTCGTTGCAAGTCGTCTGTCTGAAAACGTCGAGGTGTCATATAGGAAAAGCAGTCTCCGTCCGGACTCTTTACGAAAGGATATCAAAGAACGGCCATCGATGGCATCGTCGGCGTCGTCGACGGCCACGGCCACGGCGACGAAAACAAGACGCGGGCTCAGGTGAGGATCCTGCCGGCGTAGCCACGCAGACGCTTCGACCAGCCCTGATTCCCGCGCTCCAGGCGGCTCTTCTCCTCGTCCTCCCGGTCCAGCCGCTCGATCTCATCGAGGTGCTTGAGGTTGCGCCGGCCCGAGTCGAGGTCGATCTCGTCGAGCGTGGGGATCTTGGTCTTGTGCCACAGCTTCCACCCAAAGTAGAGGATCACCGAGACGGGCAGCACAATGTAGGCCACCACAATGTCGACCGCCTTGACCGGGTTGAGGAACGTCGTGTACCCTTGGAAAAAGGCCAGGACAATGTTGAGCACCAGCGCGAACCACGTGCCGTACGGGTAGAGGAACGCCTTGAACGGCAGGTCCTCGACCTTGTTGCCTTGACGCACCCACGCAGAGCGGAAGCGCTGCAGAGCGAGGGGAAGAGCGAGGGCACAAAGGTGGTGCGAGGGAAACATACGTTAGCCATCGCAAACGGCAAACAGGCAGGGTTGGAAGAGGGCCATTATATGGGGGAAAAGGCCATCGGAGGGGAAAGAGGGCCAGCAGAGGGGTGGAAAGAGGACAGTCGCCCATACTCACCACGTGACAAGCGCAGATGGCAGCCCAGATGACAAAGGTGGACACTCCAGAGATACTGATGATATACGAGAAGATCTTGGCGGCGCCGCCGCTGATCGAGAGGAGCGAGATGAGAGCGACGAGGTTGGTAAAGACGAGGGCGAAGATGGGCACCTTGCCAGACTTGGTCGTGTAGGCAAACAGGCGCGGCGCGCGTCCCGTGGCGCCGAGCGACTGCAGCGTGCGCGAGGCGAGGTAGAGGCTCGAGTTGCCGGCGCTGATGACGCTGATGATGATGAGCGCGTTGATGACGTGGGCGGCGGCGTTGATGCCGCCGCGCTGCAGCGCAATCGTCAGCGGCGAGGCGGCCGACTTGGACGACGCGGAGACGAGCTGCTCGTTGTCCCAAGGCACGTTCAGGCCGATAAAGAAGATGGTGCCCAGATAGAGGAACAGGATGCGGATGAAGACTGGGGAAGAGGGGGGACGAGTGCGCGCAAGGCGATGTGGATTTCCGGTCAGCAAGCGTGGCAGGCCAAGGTAGACGCGCCCTTCGAAGGCGACGGAGCATGTGCGGAACAGCGCATCCTCACCAGAGCGGATGGCAGTCGGAACGGCCTTCCTGGGGTTAGCAGCCTCGGCGGCGGCCAGGGCAGTGCTCTCGGTGCCGGCGTACAGCGTGGCGCTGACGACGAGGATCTTGGCGATGCCGTTGAGGGCGTCGATGCCGGTGCCCGCAAACGGACCGGGATCGCGGAAGTAGCGGAAGCCAATGTAGCCCAAGTTGCCCGTACCACCGACTGTCGAGGAAGGGGAGTGGAGAACAAGCAAGGCCTCGCGCCTGTCAGAAAGCCAGCCTTCAGGAAAAGCGCGCTCGCCACCAGAGAGGAAACAACGCCGACGCGTCGACTGCCACTCACCATTGATGACGATGCTCAGGATAAAGAAGACAATCAAGCCAATCACTTTGATGCTTGCAAGGACGAACTCAGCCTCGGCATATGCCAAGACTCCAAGCAAAGAAAACGCGATGAAGATCGACCAGAAGATCATGATCCAACCGCCCGTCGTCACGGCTCGGGCGGGCTCCCAGTACTGGATGACGATGGCGACGGCATTGTACTCGTTTGCGAGGATGGAGACCCAGGTCTCCCAGTACACCCAGCCGACGACGAAGCCGGCGGCGGGGTCGAGCCACTGGCCCGAATACTCGATGAAGCTGCCGCGAATCGGGAAGAGGGTGGCCATCTCTCCGAGCGCTTGCATGACCTGTCGGAGAGGTGAAGAGGCATGGCATTGCATATGTGGGCAGCAGAGGACGGTCAGCATCGGTCGAGGGAGATGAAGAGGTGGGACGGCGAAGCGAAGGTGGACGGAGATGACCACCTGCGCCTGGCGCCCGGCGCCGCTGCTCACAAAATAGACGATGAGGCCCGTGACGGCAAAGGCGATGAGGGCGCCGACGGGTCCGGCGCTGGCGAGGGCGTTGCCGGACCCGACGAGCAGGCCGGGACCGATGATGCCGCCGATGGCGAGCATGACGAGGTGCCTGCGGCCGAGGGCCCGTTTGAGCTGCTCGGGCTCGACGTCGCTGTCCTCGTCGCGGATCGAGTGGGCATCGTGCGCCTTTGGTCCCGCCTCTTCCTCGGACAGGGCGTCGGTGTGGTCCTTTGTCGGGCTGCCCTGCGTCAGCTGTTGCGCCTGCTGCTGCGCCTGCTGCTGCTGATGATCGAGGGTGTCTGTATATTGCCCCGAGCGCGGGTCTATATCCTTGGCGTACTGGTCCGCCGACGACATCCTGAAGCAAGCGATCGGTCGATGCGTGGTGTGTCGGTCTATGGGGAGTGAGGGGAGAGGGATGGCCCTTTCGAGATGAACGGGTCGAGGATCAGGGAGATGGAAGGAAGGAAGGAGGCGAGGGGGAGGGCTGGATGGTGCAACAGGCTAGGGGTGGCGAGCAGGCCAACCTCTTTGTTCCCGCACAAGCAGGGCTTCTTAGCTGCGCTCGGCGCTGCATCGAGATGGGCGGTCTGTGTACCTGCACATGGGCGGAGCGCCTCTGCTGGCGGTCCCCGAGTCGCCCGTGCTGCTAAACATGGAAAGCCCATGTGGCCACGGAAGGGACAGGAGGGCTGGGGTGCCTGCTCGTCGCCTGGCCATCCTGTTTCGTCTGCGACCGCTTGCGAGGGCCGCTTCGCCGGCAAAGGGTGGATGGGTGCTCGCGAGCACGCGAAGAGAGGCCGAGGTGTGGCAACAGACCACGACGGGATCTTTGTGCGAGCCGGCCAGCCTCTGCCCGGTGGCCTGCGTGCTTTGCCTGCTCGCGAGCAAAGCAGAACACCTAAGGCAAGATGCATGCAGGTCGAAGGGGTCCTTGCCGAGAACAGGCCAGCAGCCAGCAGACGACAACCAAGACGGGAAAAGCACAGCAAAGCCAAGCGACTGACTGGCGGATGAGCTGCCTGCCCGTCGACGGCTTCGCGGCGCCAAAGGTTTTTTCTCCGCGACCTCGTCCGCACGCGCCGTGCTGCCTTGGATCTCTATCCGACGTGAGAGCATGCCCTGGACGTGGCAGCATGCCCTGGACGTGGCAGCAGAGCAACACGGGCTGGCAGTTGGCATCGGAGAAGGAAACAAAATGCCATCTGTGTCCATTCCCATGGGGGCCAAAGGCTGCGGTGGACAGGGAGCTGGCGCGAGAGCAGGTGCTACCTACGACGGCTGATCATCTGTTCTCGCTCTGGCTCAGCAGCCGTCCTGTCGACCAGCTTGCAGCCTCCACACAAGGAAGAAGGCCACACACAACGAGCGACCCGAAAAGTTTTTCAGAATCGCCGCCGCCGCCACCCACCTGATCTCGAAGCAGCTGCCTCTCATTCAACGCCTGTCACCAAAGGACGTGAGAGCAGGCAGGCAAGCAGCCGCAGGACGTGGAAAAAGTTTTTGGAATCAAGTCGAGCCGCTCGTGGAAGGTACGGCAGGGTGTTGCGACGACCCGAGATCGTGGCACGAATTGGCGCAAGGCCGACGAACGAGGTGGTGTCGGTGGGGTGGATGAAAGGGGGGTGGCGAGGCACGGGGGAAGAGCTGGATGAGCCAATCACGCCATTTCGCATGATGGTGAAGCAAGCAGCGAGATCTTCAACGACATACAGCTCGAGGTGGGCAGGCAGAGAAGATGGACGGCCGCGCGGAGTACGGCGGCCGGGCGAGTGTGTTGGGAGCGGGAAAGTCGGGTCGGACCCCTTTGGACGCCGCCTGGCCGGCCGCGGGTCCCGCTTCGATGCGCGGACCTCGTGCGGTCGCCGTCGGCAGGTACGGTCATCTCTTCTTGGCATCCCGCCCCAGGAGCAGCACTGCACGACCGTGAAACGGAGCGCAGACGGCCCCCTCCTGACACGCTCATCATCTCGCACAGTGACCAGCGATAGCCGGCAATAACAAGAAGGCACATGACTTGTCGTGGCTGTGATGCCAGGCCATGCCATGCTATGCCGCAGAGAGGCGGGGATCGACGACCCTCACCTTTCCGGCTTCCGGCACGCTCTCGACCCGACAGAGAGGAGCAAGAGAGGGACATCTCCTCTGCCCCTGGGCTTTGCCGAATGGTGGCCCGCCCGCACGCCGCGTAGCCATGGATCAACGCTCTTACCCTCCGCCTCCGCGCAGCCTGGCTCAGCAAACAGACCAAGGACATCCGCAGCGTACACGACTCCGTGTTTCCACAGAGTGCGCGGTGGCGCCGTAGCCAAGCGGACGATCACCGCCTCTCGTCCAGACGCCTGGATCGTGCACCGAGTGCCGCGCGTCAACCTCGTCTGCGCCAGTATGGGCCATGACCTTGCGATCGGGGCCAAGCGAGAGTCAACGCGACGGCCGACAGTCCAGAGAGCCAAAATGCAAACCAGGGCCGAATGGGCGAGCTGGTGGTGGTGTGACGTTGTATATCGTTGTGCGAGGTTGCGAGGAGAACAAGGACCGGAAAGGCTGACCCGGGACCACCGTAGAGAGAGATTCAAGGTGAAGCGAGGTGAAGCGAGGAGGAGGAGGAGGAGAACGACGACTGGCCTAGACATACACATGGTTCGGACGAGAAAGGAGGCGTGGGGAAAGCGGGTCGCACGCATGCTCGGCGGCGTGCCGTTCGGCGCACTGGCCGGCGGCAAGAATTGATCGTAGTCGACCTAAAGCAGGCCCAGCCGGAAAGCGAGTGATGCTGCCGGCGGCCCTGGAAAGCAGCCGCGGAACGGCTCACATCGCCAGCTCGGCCTGCAGCGCACGGAGCTCGGCGTCGTCGTCGTCCTCGACGGCGGCCTGCCTGCGTTCCGGCCCGCTCGAGACGCGCGAAGGGCCAGAGGTGATGGCGGGCGAGTGCAGCGGCACAGAGTCGGCGCCGACCAGTCTGCTGTTGAGCTCGTCCTGCTCGAGCTCCTCGAGCTCGTTCTGCAGCTCGTCCTGCGGTGTAGGCAGAGAAGCACGGTGCGGCGGGACGATAGAAATGCGTTCGACACGGTCAGCCGGCTGTACTCGGTGGGGCGCTGCGACCGACGCCGGAGGTCGGGACCGTCTCAACTCACCTCGTCGAGGTCGTGGCCCATGTTGACCGGATTCGAGATGGCTTCCGAGATCTCGTTTGTGATGTCCATCTGCTCCCGGATCGAGTCCATTGTCGCGTCGACCTTGTCGATGTCCCTGCGAGAAGAGTCAAAGTGCGAGGGTGGAGGGAAGGAGGAAAGGGAGAAGGGAAACGGAGGAGGATGCCAGTGTCAGCCGGGCACCTGCGGTTGCGTCTCGCTGGGGCCAGCCGTGGTCCGTGAGCTGCCGGGACCAGAAGAGATGCCCACATGCTGCCGTGGATCGACTTGAGTGCCGCTGCTCCCTGCCTCATTGCCTGCATCGTCTCGAAGTTCATGTTTGCGCTCTCGATGGCGTTGACCTGGGTCTCGAGCGTCATCCGCGTGCCTGCGATTTTGTCGAGCTCGTTTTCGTAGACCTTCTTCTGCCTTAGCGCCGCCTGGGCCGCTACAGGGGGCGATGGGTGGGTGCGTAGGGATCAGGGGTTAGCGTGCGCCGTCCAAAGATGCGGCGGGCTCGCCTTGCCCCTTTGCAGGGGAGGTGGGACGGCAGGGGAGGCGGCAGTGGCTTACCTCGCTTGTTTGTGGATACGTTTGCCTTTGCCTTTCTGAGCTCGTCTTCGATCTTCTTGTTGAGGTGCTCCTCTTTCTTTTCGAGCATGAGGAGCTGGCTCCGCAGCCCGACGATCGCATCGCGGGCATTGTTCTTGTTGTCCTTCTTGCCGACGATCCAGGATGTCCAGCTCGACATGGTGGGCGACGGCAGGGACGAAGGGAGGGAGGCCTCGATGAGGGTGTGCGAGAGGGGATGTGTGGAGTCTGGCGGGGGCGAGTCGTCGCAGGTGCAGTGTTGGTAGATCGAGGGCCTTGGCGAGGGGCTAGCTTGGGATGTGCCGGCGCCGGTGCTTTGGGAGTCTGAAAGCGTTACGATGGGTGCTGAGGCCTGCCTGAAGCGTCGGTGCCGAGGGGATGCAGGTGAGGATGGCTGAGGCGACTGCTGAGGGTGAGAGTGAGGGTCAGGGTGAGGGCGAGTGCGGGTGCGAATGCGAATGCGAGATTTGTTGCTGTCGAAGGGAGATGGTGGTGATGGACTGGTGGCTGGCAGCCGTGAGGATAAGGTCGAGTGGAGAAGGCGAGGCGCAGGCAGACGGAGAGAGGTTGAGAGAGAGCGAGCGAGCGAGCGACCCTGGCCCAGCCTCGGTTTGAGCTCAGCCTTGGCCCGAATTCAAATGCGCCGGGGGGGATTTGTATTCCCCAACCCAACAGGTGCATTCGAATCTAAAGGGAAGGGGGGCAGCGGGGGAATAGAAATTCGGCCCGGGGCTGCGTCACCAGCAAAGCAGGCAGGGCTCTGTTTGAGTGGAGTGCGAGGCCAGGCCAGGCCAGGCCAGCCCAGGCCAGAGGCAGACCGCGCCGCGCAAAGTCGCGTCGATGGCAGGCATGGCCAGGCCAGGCCTCGAGCCAGCCCAGCGCAGCGTCACCGTGCGGGCATCGCTCAACGCCCACCTCTCTGCCAGCCACGCCAGCCAGGCCCACAACCCCCCTGTCTCGCAACCTTCGCTCGACAGGGGCCTGGCTTGCCTCTCTCCTCCTATCTGAGCCAGCGTCGATGCTTGCCGTGGCCAACAAGACGAGACGGGCGGCCATACCCGTCTTGGCAGAGGGCGGTCTCATGTGGGCCTGAGCCAGTCTGCCTGCCTTCTGGGGACAACGTTACGTTGGCAGGATGCTGGCCAAGGCGAGACCCTGGCCCAAACCCGCTTCAAAAATCAAGCTTGCGTGCCTGGCAAAAGGTGCCCAGAGTGTGGCCGCCCGCTTGGCTCGGCGCGCACCGACAACAACACATTTCACATTTCCTCAACCCCCGGCACCCGCCCGCCGGCCGTCGTTCTCGTCGTCGTCCTGAATCCCTACCCCCACCACCACCACCACTACCGCCGTCATCGCCATCGCCCAGCCGCTGTTACACTCTGGCACCAGCTGCTGCAACCATGGCCAACGACACCGACCTCACGGCCGCATGGCACGCTCACGCTCCGCCGCCGCCCCCTCCCCTGGCGGCTTCCTCCCGCTCCCGATCTCGCTCGCCCTCGTCATCGTCGTCGTCGGCGCAGCCACGGAGGAGGGCCTCTTACCACCCAGACTCGACGGCAAAACCACACGGGTTCGATCCTCACACTCAGGGCGGCGTGCTGCCCCCAGACTCGTTCTCTCCAGAACCACAGTCGACACGCTCGCGCACAAACTCGCTCGTCAACCAACCCGTCACCTCGGCCTCGACCCCCTCGTCTCCTGTCAAGCGGCATCGCACCAGGACCGGATCCACGGTCGCACCCCAGGCCCCTAGCGCACTCTTCAACTACCGGCACCAGCAGTCGCAACAGCAGCAGCAGCAGCAGCAGCAGCAGCAGCAGCAGCAGCAGCACTCGTACTTTCAGCCAGCACCTCCCGCGCACCAGCAACCTCGCTCTCCGCATCCTGCCTTGCCCGCCGGCATCGCTGATCCCAACACCGCCGCGTATGCTAGAGTACGCCACGATAGCTCGCCCTACCCCGGACCGGCAACCAGCGCGACCCAGCCTTCCTACGTCGCCGGCTCTCCTGGTCAACACGTCGTGCAGCTACCACCGACGACATCGGGCCCCTACGCTCATCTGCCGTACCATCCTTCGCCGATGCAGCAGACCGCCCCGACAGCCTACCCACAGCCGCCTTTCCACTCTGCGCAGCCTCAACAGCATCAGCCGTATCAGCATCAGCAGCCGGGAGCCCCGCCTCACCAGTCACAACAACAAATGTACGCGGCGCCACCGGCTGCGGCAGCGGGCTGGGATGCTTACGCGGCAGCGCATCCTTACGCCGCTCAGCAGGGGCCGCCTGCCAACCCTGCAGCTTCCCAGTATCCGCAGCCATCCAGCAGCTACTACACAACCCCACCGCAGCAGCACGCGGCCACCTTCTCCAGCGTCTACTCTCAGCCACAGCACGCGCAGCCCGCTTCCGTCGACCCGACCAGTGTCTCTTCGCCGCTCGGCCATACACCACCGCAGGCTGGCTTCGCCTTTCCGAGCGTCGGCCATGCTGCTCCGGCGCTGTCACAGGGCGACGTGCCCGCTCAGGTCTTCTCGCCTCCTCCGATCGATGCCTCGGGCAGCAGCCTCTCTCGTCAGTCGACGGTCTCCTCAGTGGCCTCTACTCGAAGACCCCTGCCGCAGCCCACTCGGACCACGTCTCTCACCTCTACGCCGACGTCACCGCTGGCCGGAGCGACGTCAGCTGGCAGTGTCCGGAGACGGTTGCCGCGGGTGCCGCCTTCTGCCGGTGCACATCCTCCGGGTACCGCCTCGCCCCCCTCGGGCGACAGCCCTCAGGGCTCGCCCAAGCTCCCGCTGTCCACATTGAACCGAACCGAGAGCGTGAGACTCGCCGCTGAGGCTCTCATGGCGAGGGGCGTGCCTCAGCGTCGGCCTCTGCGCACTGCGCTGAGGAACAGCACCTTTGCGAGTCCCAACACAGCCTATGGCGGCGGAGGTGCTCAGCCGCAGCCGGGCGCCTCGGTGGTCGCAGCACCTGCAGTCATGTCTCCGAGTCAGAGCGAGCCTGTGGCTCGGGCAACGGGCAGTCCAACCGATCACGTACCAGGCGCGAATGTCTCCGCGCCAAGTCCCAGCCAAAGCGCCGGGCCTGGCATCCCGAGCGCCGGTGGTCAGCAGCAATGGACAAGCGGAGGAAGCCTCGAACACCAGGCTGGCTTCGTGTACCATCAAGGCAGCCCTTCCCAGCCGCGGCCGTTGGAAGAGACACCGCAGCCGGCGCCGGCGCCTGCGACGTCGCAACCTCCAGCTTCATACTCGAGCGCTGTAGAGCAGGCCCAGCGTCAGTCACTCCCGTCACATTCTCGGAACGACCACTCGAAGGAACCCAACCGGGTCAGCCCGCTACCAGCCTCCCTGGCAGATTCGTTCGCCCAGATGTCGATGCGAGGGCACGGGAGGGAACGGGCCACGGTCCGCGACTCGCCATCGCCGCCGCCCCCTGAACAGACAGATCCATCGATCGCTGTCGCGCCGCCATCCATCTCGGTCACAGGGAGCACCGAGAGCGAAGAGCCGCGCAGAAGAGGTGGCAGCGTTTCGCGAAGCCGGCAGCGAGCTGCATCACCAGCTCCAGCCGCAGTGCCTGCGATCCCGACGATCAATTTCCCCGGCGGTGACAGCGACGACGATGGGCCCGGCGCTTCAAGCAATGGTCCAGTCATCAGCATCTCGGGCCCCGACGATGACGAGGGCGGCGGTCGCGCCAACAGTAAGACGGCCTCGTCTGTTCCCAATGTCCCTTTCATTTCGGTCGTCGCCGATGATGACGAGGATGATGATCGCCGCTCGCAGACAAGCAGCGGCAGCAAAGGACCGTCGGTCTCGATCTCGTTCTCGGGCGACCCTGCAGGCGGCGCCAAGCCGCAGCAGGCCAAGACGAGCGTGGCGCCAGCGGGGCCATACTCTCGCGGCGGGAGCGACCAGGGTGCCGCCTCGGCGTCGTCGGTCGGCGGCGGAGCCCAGTGCTACGGCTGCCGAAAGTACATCGCCGGCAAGGTGGTCCACGCCCTCAATACGACCTTCCACCCGGCCTGCTTCGTTTGCGCCCACTGCTCCGAGGGCCTGGAGCACGTGGCGTTCTATGAAAAGGACGGGCTGCCCTACTGTCACTTTGACTATCACGAGCAGTTTTCGCGCCGGTGCTTCCACTGCCGGACGCCGATTGTCGACGAGCGCTTCATCACGGTGCAGGACGAGGAGCTCACCGGCGGTGGCGGCGACGGGGGCGAAGGTCAGGGCAAGGAAAGGTGCTACCATGAGCTGCACTTCTTTTGCGCCAACTGCGGTGACCCCTTCCTGGATCCAAAGGCGGCCGGTTCGGCGGCGGGCGCGGACCCCAGCCTGGTGGCGGCAGACGAGGACGGTAGAGTCAAAGCGGGCGGCATGGAGTTCATCGTGCACAAGGGATACCCGTACTGCGAAAAGGTGAGTCGCGTTGCCGCGGCGGCAAGAAGGAGCAGCGAGGTCGACTTGCCTGCACCCCTGGCCGAGCTCGACCGCCCTCTGACATTACGTCGACCACCTCGACGATCCCGTCCCGCCTCGCCGCCGTCGTACAGTGCCACATCAATCTCCACAAGCCGCGCTGCAAGACGTGCCGGAAGCCCGTGGTGGGCGACCTGATCACGGCGCTCAACGCAAAGTACCACCCCGAGTGCTTTGTCTGCGCACGTTGCCAGAGGCCTTTCGAGGAGACGAGCTTCTTTGTGCGCGACGGCAAAGCCTACGACGAGGAGTGCTACAAGGTCGTCCTGCGCGCCCTCGTCTGACGTCGGCCCGACATCGCCGAGGTATCTAGGGGCCATCCGGCGGCGGCGGCGGCGAGCCAAGTGGGTGCTGGCGTGCAATGAAGCGGGACCGCCGGCCTCGGGTTGCCAAACCTGTCGGCGTGCCCATGGCGCCGTCTAGAGGTGCCAGGCGGTATCCTTGGGCACGTTGAAGTTGGCCCACATGCGCGAGGCATTCATGTCCCGGCTCCCGTCCTCTTCGACGAGGCAACGCGGCTTGTCGTCCGGGTTGGCCGGGTTGCCAAACTTGACCGATTCCCGCTGCACGGACATGTCAAGTCGAGCAAGCGGGGACGGCGTGTAGGGAGAGAGAGAGGCAGAGGGGGAGGGCAAGGGCAAGGGCGAGCTAGGGTCAGATGCTGGGCCCCTCCGTACACGGCGATTTTTGGAGACGCAGGCGGGCGAGCGGGCAGGCGGACTTACCAGACCCAGGGTGAGGTGGATGCCAGCCGGGCCGGGCGTAAACGTCTTGAGCTCCTTTGCCGCCGCCGCATCGTCGCCCTCTGCTGTTGCTGCGGCGGCGGCAGCGGAGGAGCGGGAGATGAGGGCGAGGATGTTGTGCGAGACCGTGTCAATCTGACCCATGGCGGCGCGCACCGTCTTCCACGCGCCCGTCTCTGCCACGTCGCCGAGGGCGAACAGCCTCTGCGCCTGTCCTGGCTCGAGCTCGGCGCTCTGCACCTGGAGCGTTCGGTCGACCTTGATGAATCCGGCCGCGGTGAGGGAAGAGGGCGAGAGGTGACGCAGCAGCGCCGATCGTGGCGTCTGACCCGTGCAGAGCAGGATCAGGTCGCCCGACACGCTCGAACCGGACGAGAGGGGCAGCATGTGCGTCCTCCCGCCCCCTGAAAACGCGGCGGGCGGAGAGGGGAGGTGGACGCGCGAAGAGAGGATCGTCTCGATGCCCGCCTCGCCGAACCGCGCCATGACGAGGTTGTGTAGGTCTTGGTGGTCTGTTTGGCGGGGGTGCGGAGGCGAGGGAGGTTTCAGGACCGACGTTCCAGAGAGGCCAAGGTCAGCGACGTGCTCGCCAGCGATCTTGCTCGGTGAAGGGGAGAGGGAGGGCAGGGGGGCAGGGCACCTACACTTGTTCATGACGCGGTCGCGAGAGTGGACGACGACGACCTCCTTGCCGCTTTCTCGGAGCGGGTAGAGGTGCGCAATGTCGAGTGCCACCTGGACGCCCACGGCCCCTCCGCCGACGATGACGATGCGCCGCGCATCCCTGACCTTGTCCTGGTACGACTGGAGGATCTGGATGGCCTGCGCCTTGGTGGTATCCTGCACCTCCCCTGTCCGGTTCCCCTCACCTTCGATCGCATCGGTGGAAGAGGAGGAGGCGGCCGTGGAAAGGCTCCATGGCCTCTGCAGCTGCGTCCCCGTTGCGAGGGCGAGGTAGTCGTAAGCAACGAGGTTTGTCTCGCCCTCGCCATCGTCTTCCCGGCCCGCCGGTCGAGCAGCGTTGGGTAGAGGGCGGTCCAGACGGATCGTACCGCCCACCTCGCCGCCGCCCGACGAGGGGAGGATGGAGAGGGCGCGGGCGTGAACGACGGTGCCTGCGCCCGGCGGGATGGACGGGTCGGAAAAGATGTGGTCGTAGGGCACGAATGCCTTTTCCTCGCCGCCGCGATGCAGCACCGAGAAGCGGGGCAGCGTAAAGAGGTGGTGAAAGTGGCTGTTGCTCTCGATGAGCACTGCTCGTCGTCATCGTCGTCGAGGTGCAGGGCAAGGAAGAGAGAGAGAGGGGGGAGGATGCAGCTGGTCAGCAGACCGACGCGGCTTCGACTCGGTCAGGTTCCGGCCACGCCGCGAGGCTCACCGACTCGGTGCGTCGCCGGCAGGGCCTTGGCGAGCGACATGGCAAGGCGGTGTCCGACGTAGCTCCCGCCGATGACGGCGACGTTCTTGGTGCGGAGCGCGTTCATCGTCGAAGCGGGCTTGTGAGTGGCAGAGTCGTCGGCGTCGTCGTGAGCAGGTGCGGGGGCGGTAGCATGGGGTGCTGTGGACATGTCCGCTTTGATGGGCGGTGGGGGCCGGAGTAAAGAAGGCAGAAAGGGAGGGCGAAAGAGAGCGGGCGGAAGAGGGTGGGGGGAAAATGTGCTTCGTCTTATACGGTGAGGAGGAGGACGAGGGGCGGTCGGCCGTGACTCGATCCGATGTATTGGCTACGCTTGGGAGGGTGTGAGTGAGGGATGGAGGGAGGGAGGGAGGCAAACGGCGTGCGTGTGAGCATGAGGCAGTTGGGTAGCTGGACGTCGGGCCGAACCCCGTCTGAGCTTGCACCTACTTCTCCTTGCTGTGCCGTGCCGTGCTGTGCTGTGCCGTGGCGGGGTGGGCTGTGCTGGCAAGAGCATAACCTAGCTAGTTACCCTGCCTCCTCTCTCTCTCTATCTATCGGCTCTCTGCTTGGTCCGGACGGGGAAGAAAAGGGCGTGGGTGCAGGCCGCAAAAAGCCGAAATCAGATAAGGCCCACCCGGATCTTATCAGGGGCCAAACCGCAGGGCCGGGCCGCGCGGCGGGGGCGGATAAAGGTTTATTCCACCCGTCCCGAGCCGCCGGCCAGCCCCCGTTCGCTCGATCGTTCTCTTCCGCCGGGATGCGCGCATCGAGAGCAGGGCTACTGCATGTTTTGCTGCGGCCGACGAGCACCTAAAGAGCGTATTGAGCATTGTTGGTACATGTGACAAGGCCAAAGGCACAGAGAGCGATCCGAGCAAGAGGGGAGGGGGACAAGGGGAATGAGCGTGAAGGGTATGCTGGACGGGAGAAGAAGGGTGGGCGGTAGGATTAGGCAAGACTCGGTCTAAGAACCTGGCGGGACGACGTGCGGAGGACCGGTACAGAAAGAGGTATAGATGGGACGCTACCCAAACGCCAGCAGAGGGAGACTCAAAAGAAGACACCCGGAGACATGCGCGCCCTCGCAGACCGCGTCGAGGCGGGCGAGTCGAGCACCGAAGCACCCGCGATCGGTGCCGCTCCGGGCACGGCGACTCGAGACACCTTTGATCGAGAGGAGGGCGACGGCTCGAGCGGAGCAGAGGGCTGGTGGGCCAGCAGCTCCGAGGCCAGCCTCTGCTGCGACGGCAGCGAGGGCCGGCGGATGCGCGGCGGCATCGTCATCGAGCTGCGGTCAGCGCCCGTCAGGATCGCCTCTGCCTGGGCAATCCGCATCGACCGTGCGCTATTGGGCGATCCAAAGATGGCCTCGTCACCGTGGCCGCCTGCCGCATCGAAACGGTCGTCGGACGGTTCTAGGGGCTCGTGCGGCAGCGTCGACCGGATCCGCGGGACATGCGAGGGAGTGCTCGGCGCGTCCAGCGGCAGATCCATCAGGAAGCACGACGAAGAGGATGCTGGTGGCGTCGAAGGAGGCAGCTGCTGCTGCGGCTGCAGCGGCGTGGCGGGTAGCGGGGCGCGCATGTACTGCGAAGCCTGCCAATCGCGGGCAATCTGCGACGCAATCGTGTCCGTCGCACCGCTCCTCGACGAGCGCCGCACCCACGTCCGCCCAGGAATGTCGGCGATGTCCTCGCTCTCGCCTTCCTCGATGACCTCGGACGACTTGAACAGCCCGTCGACCTGCTTGGGCGTTCCGAATTGTTGCTGCTGCTGCTGCTGCTGCTGCTGCTGCTGCTGCTGCTCTTCGGCGTGCTTGGCCGCAATCTGCGCCAAGCTGTTCATCGAAGGTGATCGGCCGATTGCGGGCGATACGGGCTGGTTGGCGCGCAGGCTGCCGCCGTGACCGTTCTGCGACGACGGCCCCGCCACGACGCCGTAAGGCGTTGGGTAGAAGGCTTGTGGGGAAGAGGGCACCACCTCCTGCATCTCTCCTCTTCCCCCGTCTTCGGAAGCGCGCTCGTTGGGCTCCTCGACAATCTTGCTGTTGGAGCCCGCCCAAGGTCGGTTGCCGCGCGGAACCGAGAAGATGTTTCCGTGCTTGCGCTGCTGCTGCTGCTTGGCCTCGGTGCCCGAACCGGTCTGCGGCGAGTTGCCGCCAGACGACGTGTTCGGCGACCCGCTCTGCCTTGGAAAGCCGCCCTGGTCCATCTCGGGCGTCACCGAGGCTGTGCTCGTCATCGGGTCGTCCGGACGCAACACCAGCGCTCCCGGGTGGACGCTGTCGGTGCCGAGCGAAAACTTGATGCCGTCCTCGAGCTCGCCGCCGTACTGCGCCTTGGACGCCTCGTGCTGCGTCGTGTCGACGCCCACGCTCTCGGGAACGGCGGGCAGCGTCCTGGTCTTTTCGCCGTTGACGTTCGTGTTGCCATCGCGGCGGCCATCGACGTCGTCTTCGCCCCCGCCGCCGCCGCCGCCACCGCTATGGCGGCGTGCGAACCGCGCGATTCGGTCCTTGTTGCCGCCGCTCCCCTTGGAGGACGCGTCGCGCGACGGCGTTTCCGAGTCGACGCTGCGCAGCACAATGGCGCCGATGGTGAGGAAGCCAAACACGCACGAGGCGTAGCTCGCCACCAGCGTGCCCTCTCGCCAGAGCTTGGCGAACGGTCCCGGACCGCGCAGCATGGCCTCGTAAAGGCCGGCGGCGAGCCGGATGGTGACGTACGAGAACATAAGGGCTCCCGATATGATGCCGAGGTAGAGGACGATGAGGTTGAGCATGCATCTGCGCAGGTAGCGGAAGCGCGACGAGGGCGATGCGTGCGAGCTGAGCCGTCGCGTCGCCAGGCGCTTCAGCTCCGGACGCAGGGGCGGAAAGAAGATGTCGCGCACCTCGGCCTTAACTCTGCGACGCGGGTGGCGCAGCGCAAAGGGCGAATTGGGCGGGGACAGGCCGTCGTCGGGAACGGCTGTCGAGCTGTCCTGGCTGTCGCCGCCTTGGACGCGTCGCCCCTCCTCATCTCCGACGGCTTCGTCGCCCAGGGGCGGCAGTGCCAGCGGCTGGAACTGCTCCGGCGAGCCCTTGCCGCCAAACCTGGGCCGAGGCGTCTTGAGCTTGGGGGCAGCTTGTTCGCTGGGACGAGCCGTCCTCTCCGACACGGTATCGGAGCAGCCATCGCCCGGAGAGGCGCCGGCGGCCCCGCCCGTTGAAAAGGTGCGTTGCTGCGCCGTCTGCTGCTGCTGCTGATGGTTTTGCTGCTGGTTGGCGTTGAAGAGCGCCTTTTGCTTCTGGACCTGCTGATACAGCAAGTAGACAAGGTAGCCGCCTGCTGGGATGTAAAAGGCCAGGAAGACCACCGACCAGAAGCTCCAGAGCGTGAAGGCGATCTCGGCATACCAGATCGACTTGCTGACGCCGTCCCAAATGGTGCTGGCGCGCTCGACGACCGTGTGGGCCGAGGCAGCGTCGAGAGAGCCGTCGGCGGCCGAGAGGCTGTTGGCATAGCTGAGCCATTCGACGTATTCGTCGTAGGTGCCGGAGAAGCGCTTCTGGCCGAGAATGCTTGGCGGCAGCACCGAGGCGATGAGGACCAGCGGCGTGCCTAGGCAGATGAAGTTGATGAGCAGGGGCTTGGGCAGCAGGCCGAGGACCCGGGCGACCCTGCCGCGATCCGAAGAGCTCGTTTTGTCGAGCGCGCCTGGGGCAGTGTAGAAGGAGCCCCATCCTGCCCAGAAGGCGCCAATGTACAGAGGGATCCAGGTCAAGGTGGCCCAGAGAAGGATGCCGTCAACAAAGCGCGGCACCTCGTTGCGGGTGAGTCGCCAAGTGATGGCGTTGTAGGCGATGAGCACGATCGCAAAGCAGCCCTGGATGAGTAGGAAGCTGTTGAGAGCGTTGGGCTGCGGGAAGGATGAGGCGAGGCGTGACGTCCAGGGACAGGATAGTTGTCAGCCACCCGTCCTGCACAACCAGGGCCAGGCCCGCTGCGAGGAATAGGCCGTACGGCCTACTCACGACAATGTAGATGCCCTCGGCCCTCCTCGTGAAGCGAAACACCCAGAACTTGCGCTTATACAGTTTGTACGCGAACAGGATGGCTTCGAAGACAGGCAGGAACACACGCCCGGCGCGGCAAGAACGGCAGGTCAGCCTGCGTGCCAAGGGTGAGGAAGAAGGACGGTGCCCTCGGTGCTACCACTCACAACCAGAGATGAACAGGACAGCGATGAAGCACGCGGTCGAGAGAAGCTGGATCTGCGCTGCTCCGCCGATGTTGAAGAAGAAGAGGTCGCGGACGAAGCTCTTGAGCGACTGCAGAGCCTCGTCGGAGGGTGGCGTCGAACCTGCGGGCCCGCCACTGAGACCAAGGCCGGCGGTGATGTCGGCGGGAAACGCGTCATGCTCCGCGAGGCTCCTTAGGAAGGTGCGTGGTGGTGCCGGTGCCGTCGATGTGGCATGAGGCGATGGGATGCTGCCCGACCCGAAGGTGCGGGCCAGGAGAACAGAGGGCATGTCGGGGACGAAGCCGGCGACGACTTCGGTGGTCGTCGTGTGGTCGAGCGCCCGATGCTAGCTACCAGCCGAAACTCAAGACGTCTCTCGAGCTGTGGCGCCGCCAGACGTGGGCAGCTCGCGCGCAGAAGCCGGGCTGGTCCGACGACCGGCACCCGAGTACGGCTCTGCTGGAAAGCACTGTTGCGAGTAGTGACAGTTCCGAGGGCTGCCGTGAGGGTGGTGGGGGCGGTCTGACGCGTCTTGGTGGCGATGACCTATCGCGGCGAGGAGATCGAGAAGATATGAGATGGTCGAGGGATGATGGACACAAGGTGATGACAAGGGAGCTAGGCCGATGAACGCATCGTCTATGAGGGCCGGTCGTGGTCGTGGCCAGACTGTGGCGTCGAGGTAGCGCAGTCGCCCTGAACAAAGGATCGCGTCCGCAAGACAGCTCAAAGACGCCGACGATCCGGTTGGGGCAGCCAAGCGACGCGGGCAGAGCAGGGCGCGTAGGTTGAGGGCGGGTCGAGCGCGGATGGTGGTGGTGCTGCTGTTCCTGTTGCTGCTGTCTGTACTGAGCCGAAGCCTGAGCCTGACGAGGTGCGGTGCGCCAAGAGGTGCAAGCAGATGACCTGAACAAGGTCGACAGCGAGTGTCAGTGTCGAGAGGGCGTGCTGGGCCGGACAGCGTAGAGGGACAAGGCTGCTCGGACGCGGATACGGCGGGCGGTGGGATACAGTAGGCAGCTAGTCGGGCGCCGGATGGTGAGACAGGTTGCAAACAGGCAGCAAGGGTCGGAACGTTGTCGGTTGTGGTGTGATGCGGCTGCAGGTGGTGGTGTTGGTGTTGGTCGCGAGAGGGAAAGGGCAGCGGCGTCGTTGGCCGGCCTTCCAAGGGTGGTACGAGAGCAGGGGGCCAAGGGCGTCGTCCGTGGACCAAGACACCAGCTTAGCGGTTCACGCCAAGGGATGGAGCGGAGGGGGCAGGCGACGTGTCCAGATGCCTGGGCAAGAGGGTTGACCCAGCGCGTACGTACGTCGGGATGGGTAGAAGTGCTTGCGCAGCGCAGATGGCAGCTGCCTGGTCCGGTGCAGTGGAATGGCCGGCGGATCTCAGGCGAATCCCCCCCTACCGTGTGTGTGTGTGTGTGCAGCTGATACGGTAGCGCAGCGGTGACAGGGGCTGCGGGGGTCCGAGCTGAACAAGTGTGGCGTGGTGGATCGAGCGATGGGGACAAGGTAGTGCGGTGGGGCAGGACCTTCGCCTTTGTGCCAGGAAGCAGGCATACTTAGACTGTGGGCCTGGCCGCCAGCCTCACGACGGTAGGCCAGGGATGGTCCACAACCAAGCCGGAGACGCCGCGGAGACTCTACCAGGCAGCGGTGAGACGAGCGGGATGGCGGCGCGCAGTACGGTGGAGGCCAAGCGTGGATGTGACCGGAGAAGGAAGGTATGTAGAGACCTCGTACGGATGCGTTTCGGAGCGGCTCTCTTGGGCGGAAAGGCAAGCAGCCTGGCAAGCACAAGGCAGCCACCAGAGCCTAGCCTAGCGTAGCGTAGCAATCAAGAATCTTGTGTCGGCGACGTTGTCTCGCCTGCCCGACTCCGTCAGAGGCTAGAGGCCGGGTCGGGAGACGAGATAGAGCGAGCGTCGCTGAGCCAAGGCAGACAGACAGACAGGCCCGACTCATGCCGCTGGCCCGCCGATCCACGGTAGCGCAGCAGCCTATACGGCATCCGCGCGCGCATCGAGGTGCCAAGCTAAGCTCCGCTCGCCGACTCCGAGGCTAGGAGCTTCGAGTCCGCCTGGCTGGCCGGCCCATCGGAGCGCGTCTGTCGCGAGTGCCGTAGAGTGAGCCGCGGGATGACCTTGCTTGGCCTGGCAGGCCCTGGTGGTTGGCCAGGCCTTTGCCGTCGACGATCCGCGTCCGGTCAGTCGAGGCCTGCCTGGCTGGCGCCGTTGATGCGCTCGCTCGGTTGGGCGGGGCTGATGGTTGGTGGATCTTCAGAGGGAATCAAAGGCAGAGGACGCAGCACGCATGACAGCCGGTAATTAGAAGGCCAAGGCGGCTTCCCGTAACCCGTCCGTCCAAACAGCGCGCCAGCTCACCTGCTACCTCTTTTTCCCGGTCGCCAAACGCGGCTCCCATGCCATCAGGCAGGCCTGCCTGCAGAGCCGCGCAGCGTCGCAGGCTCGCAGCTGCCGGTGGCTACAGTGTAACTTAGCAGAGAGGGGGGGGGGCCTCCGCACGCTCCTTGGCCCCTCGTCGCCGTCGTCGTCGCGCGCCATTTGGGCAACGACATCCGCCAGCGCTCAGCAGCGCAGACAACGTCGCGCGGCCTCGACACGATCGCAATCGCAATCGCAATCGCAATCGCAATCGCAATAGTAATCGTGATCGCGTGGTGGTGAGCTGGCAGAGTGAAGTCGACCTCGTGTGGGCAAGCAGCATGCAATTTTCATTCGATGGAGCTCGCCTTTCTTCATTCATTCAGGGCGAGATTGGATCCATGGCAGGCCATGCCGGCAACGCCAAGCCGCCATGGCCAAGGCCAAACGTCATGCCATCCATCGTCCGCAAACTAACACGCACAAGCAGCGTTGTAAGTTAGCCTAATTTTTCGACCAGGTCAGCCTGGGTGGCCACATTGTGTACGGACAAGTGAGCACGGTGGATGGTGGTGGTCTCGACGTAGCTCTGTTGCCGCTCATCCTGTCAAAAGGCGTCGGGAAGCCAGCGCCTAGCTCGGCCCAGGCCTGCCTGACCCTTTCTGCCCGTCGCATTCCGCGCTTCCACTCCTGCCTGCTTCGACCCTATGTAGTTAGTCGAGAGGTAGTTAGATGCGCCACCTTTTCTGCCTGGTCCCCTAACTACCATGAGGAAGCCTGCCGGCGGAGGGGACACTTTAGACTGCTTCTGCCATCCTTGGCCTAAGCGAAGGCCGGCTCTCGAACGGGCCCCATGCAACTTAGCGTCCCAGCAGGAAGACTGACTGAGGGTGCCGCTTTCACCCGCTTCTTGGTACGTATGGGTACGAACCTCTCAACGACGTTCCGCATATGGCAGGTCGAGGTCATCCTTCGTCTTCTTGGGCCGCCCGGGCTTCTTGCCAACTCAACATCCGCGGGCTTTGCGATCGTGTCTCGTCCTTCTTCTTCTTAGGTAAGCCGCCATCATCACCTCCATCCCGTCCGTCCCTTCCGTCGTCGGTCGTACGATACGGTACGAGAGAGCGTCGACGTCGGCGGCGACCGGCTCCGAACCGGGTACGGATACGAGGGTGCTCAGCTTCCTCTTTGCTTTGCGGCAGCTCGGACGTGACCGCCAGACTCAGCTCGTCAGACTCGGCTCTTTAGATGCCCAAGCGCCACGACCCGCCGCTCGTTTCCACAAGACCTTTGGATCGGCTATGTGCGCTGGTCGTGTGCGCAATGGGCATGGACATTTCGTGGCCGCAGCCTCTGCGACGCGTGTGTGTGTGTGTGTGTGGGAAGCGTGTGACGTAGGGGAACCGACGAGATGCGGGTGCCAAAGGTATAACTACAAGAAGACAAGGGAGGGGAGCGAAAGAGGACTCCAGAGGCGCTAATGGCCTGGTCAAGGAGCGGCTGCCGCGGTGTGCGGCAGCGACGACCTAGGCTGATAAACTAGTACAGCGAGCGAGGGCTGAGGCCGGCCGGTCGAAGGGTCGAGAAGCGGGTCGATTAGACGGGCCCGGCGGACCGCAGTGACAGGCAAAGATGCCACGACGCCAACCCTCCGTTTAAGCGGCGCCAGATCCGACGTGGGCGGTGGCGGTCGTCTCGCCCGTAGCGGCGCTCTGGGTGACGTCGATGTGGCCGGCGGCGCGGTTGCCGGTAGCCTCACGCTTGCTCCTGTAGTTCTTGATGGCCGACTTGATGGCGTCCTCGGCGAGCATCGAGCAGTGGAGCTTGACGGGGGGCAGGCAGAGCTCCTGGGCGATCTCGGTGTTCTTGATCTGGCCGGCCTGCTCGAGCGTCATGCCCTTGACGCGCTCGGTCATGTAGCTGGAGCTGGCAATGGCGGAGCCGCAGCCAAACGTCTTGAAACGGACGTCCTCGATGATGCCATCCTCGTTGACCTTGATCGAAAGCTTCATGACATCGCCGCACGCGGGCGCACCGACGAGGCCGATGCCGACGTCCTTGTCGGTCTTCAGGAACGAGCCGACCTGTGGTGTGGCAAAGAAGCGAGGGGCAGGAGAAGAAAAAAAGAGCAAGGTGGGAGTCAGCTTCGGCCGTCGAAGAAGGGGTGGCCATCGATATGTGGCAACCGGCGCGGCAGCAGGCCGAAGTGCGATGCTCACGTTCCTGGGGTTCTCGTAGTGGTCAATGACCTTCTCGTGGTAGCCGCGACGCTGAGTGGTCGCAGTAAAGGGGCTGGCGGCGGAGCGAGCGACAGTGGCAACGGCCGGGCGGGCGACGCTGCTGAACTGGGCGGCGCGCGAGGTCGAGGCGACGGCCGAGCGGGCAATGGGGGCGAGCGAGTTCCTAAACATGGCGGACGAAGCGTGTGTGGTTGTGCTTGTGTGCGTGTGCGTGTGCGTGCGAGTTGTGCTGCTATGTGCGATCGACAGAAGATGGATGGATCTTGTGGTGTGTCGATGGACGTTGATAGTGGTGGTAGTCGAGAGGGAAGGTGAGACGGGCCGTGTGGCTGGAAGGAAATAATCTGATGGCGGGCGTGGGGATGCCGGCCGGCCACTGCCAGGCGGCATTTGCGCTGACTCGCTCGCCGCCCTTGCAACCGGCCCGCCCTCTGTCACCGCGCGCGGCAGGCAGGACTCGCCCGCCCGGCCTGCCCGCTGACGGCAGGTGGAGCTGAGGTCATGGGCAGGCCTGGCCTGGCGCAGGTCGACATCGGGTGGCAAATCCCGGACCCGCCCGGTCGACTCGTCCCGTCTCATCGGGAAGAGGTCAGCTCACCTGCCATCGGGGTCAAAAGGTCGCGTACAAGACAAGCGCCCGGCTGGCTCGCTCGAGAATCGCAGCCTTCGCACCTCGTCGCCTCTCTGCCGCAACCCCACCGCACCGCTCCACCGCATCGGCCACCTCCTCACCACCGCCGACCTCATCCTCGTCCTCGTCCTCGTCCTACCACGCCCCGCACCGTCCCTCCCCTCATCAACGGAGCGAGCACAACAAGCCATGTTCGCCACCGCGCTCCTCCGCAACGCCTCTTCGGCCTCGGCCTCGGCCTCGGCGGGCCAGAGCTTCAGCGCGGCGCACAAGTCGTACGTCAAGTCCCTCTACCGGCGCTACCTGCGCAACTCGCTCGACTGGTGCATCCGCCGCGACGTATGGAGGGACCGCGCCATCGAGATCCGCGTCGAGTTTGAAAAGCACCGCAACGTCCGCAACCCGCGCCAGCTCGCCAAGCTCTTTGACAAGGCAGAGGCCGAACTCAAGCAGATCCAGCACCCGGACCCGCACAGACGTGAGTCGTCGTCACACCGGGCGGCGGGGACCATCACCTGCCTGCTCCATCGATCGCCTGTCGAGCACCTCTCTGCCGTGCCTTCAGTGTGGCCGGCAAGTCGTCCAGCGCAGAACACTGACATCCCAATCCTCCGTGTTCCCCCACACACCCGCCTCTTCCTACAGCTCCGATGTTCGAGGACGGCACCAAGTGGTACGTGTCCCCGCCTGCCCCTCCCGCGCCTAGCCACTTCTCAAAGCCTCCACCGTGCCGCTCAGCAGCTTCAGACTGACGACCCGTCTTCTGCTCCTCTTTTCCTCCTCACTTCCCGGTCGCGCCGTGCCGTGCAACAGGGAGCGAAACCTTCCCGTAAGTCCCCCTTGCTCGACAGCTACCGACCGTAGCGCAGCGTGGTCCCGTACTGACCTTTGCCTCTTCTCGCCTCGAACCTCATCCCGTATCGTCACCTCTTGCTGCCTCGCCCCCCGCGCTCGCAGCCTCGCATGTTCACCGAGGCGGAAAAGAAGGCCGCCATCGAGGCCATGCACCACTAAAGCCCCTTGGGGCGGTCCTCCTCGAGTCGTCCTCCCGCCCGTCGTGTAGGCACAGAGAAACGAAGCCAAGCGAATAATCAGAGTGAACAACACACAGCACCGATCGGATCGCGCGCCAGACGCCGGCGACTTGAGTTCGCGCGCGGCGTGTCGATTGCTATCAATGCGCCATGTGCCGAAGCCATATGGCAGCTGCCGCTACTGCTGCTGTTGGTGTCGCTTTCATGCTGCTAGGCTGTGCTGCGGTTCCCTGGTGATGCTGTTCGTTGGAGTCGTCGCCGCCGCGCCCGCTCAGCGCCTTTCGATGCCCAGCTCGACCGTCCTGATGCCCCTAGGCGTGCCCGCAAAGATGACGTCCTCAACCGCTGCCCCCTCGCCGCCACCGTCGCCCTTCCAGACGACGTCGCAGATGGGCTCGTCGCCGACCTGCTGGACCAGGAGCGGGTCGCGCGCCTTGCGCATGTCCCACACGCGCACAGCGCCGTCCTCGCTGCCATAGGCAAAAATGCTCCGCCGCGTCGGGTGGAAGCAGCCGCGGCCGAGCGGGGTACGGCCCTCGGTGTTGTTGAGCCACCCAAACGAGATGACCGACCGGCTGACGGGGCCGTTGCGACCCGTCACGTCGTACAGCCGAAACTGGTCGTAGTCGCGCCGCGCACACGTCGACAGGATCAGGTCCGGGTGCGGCGTGCGCTGCAGGTGCACGATGCGCTCCGACGTCGGCCACGTGAAGCCGAGGTTGAGCTGCGAGATGTCGAACCCGACTACGCGCCCCTGCGACGCCGAGACCAGCAGGTTGTGCCGCACCGCCAGGTGCTCGAGCGCCGTGACGGCCACGTTGCCGTGGATCGTGTGCAGGCGCTCGACCTCGCACCCGCCGCGCGACGACCAGCGCCAGTGGTTGACCACGCCGTCGCTGCCGCCCGTGGCAAAGTTGATCGACGTCGGGTCGTCGCGGGCCGTGTTGGGGAACGACGAGATGGCAAAGGCGCCCTGCGGGTGCGGCCGCGCGTCGAGGTGGTAGATGCGCGGGCGCCGTCCGCCGTCGTCGACCGTGAGCAGGCTGACCTGGTGCGGCTGCGGCTGCGGGCCGATGCCCAGCACCCGCGTCGTCGACGAGGCGATGCCGACCACCTTGGACGTCAGCCGGCGCACGTCTTGGACCACGTCGATCTGGTCCTTGGCCTCGCTCAGCGTGCTGCGGAACTCGAGGCCGGGTTTGGGCGCCGGATACAACTTGGCCTCCGTCTTGATCGCCGGCAGCGTCGAGTTGCCGAGGCACGCCAGCGTCCCCGCCCTCGAGACGGCGACGGTCGTGTCGAACGCGGCCTTGCGCATGCGCGGGTTGCTGTCTGCGGACGGAGCAAAGTCCCTGCTGGCGATGGGCGCGAGGAAGCCGATTGAAAGGCGAGACCTGCTTGGCACCGGCAAAAGCGGCGATATACCCGCCAGGCTGACTGAAACAGAGGCAGCTGCGCCACCGCCATTGGTCGATGCCGTGGCCGAGGTAGAGGTAGACGGCGCCTCCGATAAGGCGGATGCTTTCTCATCCGGTGCCGTTGCCAGCGCTTTGGTCTCTGCAAAGCTGGGCGAGGCTCGTGCCTGCCACAATGGCACGCTCGACCCGGAACGGCCGCGCATCTGCCACAGCGGCACGTCCTCGTCGCTATCCTCGGTGAAATCGATGGCTCGCGACTGAAGCATAAGTGGCCTGTCGTCGTCATCGTCGTCGTCGTCGCCGTCGGCAGTATTGACCGCGGCGTTGAGTGCGGTCGGAGGCTGGGACGAGGGCTGCTCGACCGCCGCTGCGACCGCATTCTCTGCTGCGTCGGTCGATGGCGTCGGCCGCTGGGCCGTTGGGGCACTCCCAACGGAGGCCGACGGCTGCGAAAGCCTTTCCGCTTCTGCCGGGCTGGACAGCCCCTGCGACGGGAGCCCGGAGCCGAAGAGAGCCAAGGGCTCCAGCTTGAGTCGCGGCGCCGGGTCGACCGGAGGGTTTGACGCAGCTTCGACCGACCGGCGGGTGGCCTCTGATGCATCGCCGTTGCGCCGATCCTGCTGAAGCGCAGCCTTCTCTGCCCGCTTGATCGCAGCGCGGTCTGGTCCGACCGCCAACAGGGAGCCGAGGGTGGCACCGACGGTGCTTCGCTGGGTGGGGCGTGTGGGCGGCGTCTCGATTGTCTCGTCCCCAGCCGCTTCAGGCTCCTGCTTGACAACAGGGACAATCGACGCACTTGCAGATGCTCGAGCAGGAGTCACCACTGTCGTGAGCTGGTCCGAAGCTGATAAGGAGGCGGTAGGCCGAGAAGGAGACTGAGGGAGCACCGGCTCCGTCGATGTCGAGGTCGACGCAGCGCTGGTCCCCGTGCGCGGAACCGCCACCTGGCTCGACCTGGAAGCGCTGCCAGCGGCTGGTGCGGCGGGTGCAGCCTGCTTTTGGGCTTCGCTTGGCGCTTCACGGACAGGCTCCCGAACGGATGAAGCAGGTGCAGTCGGCGTCCGAGGATTAGGGGCCGCTTGGTGTTGGCGCTCCCCACTGGCGCTTCCAACCGGCCGCGGAATCGTCGGCTTGGCTGGTGCGTGCGTGGTTGGGGCTGTGCGCGTAGCTGCGGCAGCGCCGTTGCTAGCTCTGCTGTCGGCCCTACCGAGCGCACGATGAACCTGCGACCCGACGGCAGCCACGTTGTTGCCGCTGTTGCCGCTGGTGCTCGCCCTTGCCTGGGATTCGCTCTCTCTCTTCTTCGCCTTCTTGTGCTCGATATGCCAGGCGAGCAGGTCTCTGCGGGCATGCTTGATGATCGCCTTACGCTGGGAAAGGCCCAGTTCGAGCTGCAACTTCCGCAGCCTGGACAGGACAAAGTCGTTCTTCTCCTGGTCCCAGTGTTCGTGGTGCTTTTCGATCTCGTCCAAGGTCACTGGAGCGGCGTTGCTGAATCGCTCGTTTCGGGAAGTCTGGCCCGTCGATTCTGCGGGACGCTGTGGTGATCGCACCATGGCTGCGCTCGCCACCGGTGTGGTAGCGGCAGATGGTGCCGAGGAGGTGGCTGCGCTCGCGGCTGCGCTCGCTACCGCTGTAGTCGCGGCAGGTGGTTCCGACGAGGTGGCTGCAGCGGAGGCTCTTGCCGATGCGATTGCGGCATCTCTCTTGGCCCGTTTCCGCTCTTTCCTGGCCGCATTCTTGGCCTTTTTTAACGCTTGCGCCTCCTCTTCAGTCAGCTTCTTGGGCCCTCGCTCTGCATGCGTCTTGGCGGGCTTGCCGACATCGGGAGTCTTGCCCTTTTTGAAGTCGCAGTGAGGGCCGCGGACTTCTTCTGGGAGAGGACGCTTCCTCGAGATCGAAGACGAGCTGCTGGCGGCAGGCTGTGCTCTTGGTGGCGCCGAGGATGAGGACGAGGACGAGGACGATGGTCCTGGCCTCGGTGCGGAAGCTGCCGACCTGCCCAGAGACGAGGGCTGGCCTTGTCGTGGCTGTATCTTGGATCTCGATGCGCCGATGGTGGGCGGCGCGTCGAGCTCCCACGGCCTGCTCCTGCGCGTGCCCTCGTTGGGCTGGGAGTCTTCGGACCGGAGGGATGCTGCAGGCGGAGCGGCGCGGGCCTTCGGCGGACGAAAGGAGTAGGGGCCGGGTCTCTGGTAGGGTTGAGGTCTTGCCCTGCCGAAGCTCGATTGTATACCATGTGATGGCGCGGAAGTCTGGCGCTGTGATGCCGCTGCGGCTGCGGGAGGGAGGGAGGTGGACGAGGAAGGGTCGAAGCTCGAGATCCAGCTCATGATGACGGCGCGGCTATCGTTGGCGCTGAGCAGAGGTCGAGGGCGGAGTCGGCGGGCAGAGGTATCGGTGCGTCGGGGGCTGACTTCATCGGATAGTACGGATGCGATGCTCGGGTCGTGCGATGCTTGCTTGCTGGCTGGCTGGCTGGCTGTAGGGCTATGCTATTCTGCTGGAGGCGGTCAGAGCGATGGAGGGAGCGAGAACGGGGCCGAGGTGGAGAAAGATGGCTTGTTTCGGATGCGGCTGTAGTCGGGCGACTCCTCTTGGCTTCAAGCCCTGACTGACCGCTCGGTGAAGGGCTACGTCAGCGAGAAGGAGAGGAAGGGGAGAAAGGATAGATGGAGGGACGGAAAGGAGGTGGGAGAGCCAGAAGGAAGCCAGGATTGAGAGAGGGTCCAACCGACACCCTGCCTGGCCTCTCGCCCCAGCAAGGAAAAAAAGAGAGGGGGGGGAGCCCCAGCAAGCCAGACGACTGGCGTGTGCGGGAGTCGGCCTCCACACGCTGGCCAGCCCAAGGAGCCTGCCACTCCAGGGGCTCAGCCAGCTTCCTATCACAATCCGGAGCCGAGCGGCCATCCTGGTTGCTCTGCCAGCGCGAGGGGCCAGGTCAAGGGCCAGGGCCAGCTTGGGCCACCACCCAAACGCAGCCACAGAGGGGAGCTCCCGCCGAAGAAGCCTAGAGGCCTCTTGACCATCACCATCGATCCCGCTCTTGCCCCCTCTCTCTCCCTCTGTTTCGCTCGCTGCCTACCTCCTCTCCCTCCTCTGCCACAGCATCCGTGCCGCCACGGCCACCATGTCCAACCTGACGCTCTACACGACGACGGCGGTGCTGGTGCTCGACTCGGACGGCAACCGCATCATCTCGAAATACTACCAGCCGCCGCACGCCGCCAGCTTCCTCTCGAGCGCAACGCCTGCGCAGCAAAACGCCGTGGCGGCGAGCACGCCGCAGCTGTCGACCAAGAACCCCTTCCCTACGCTCAAGGAGCAGCGCGCGTTTGAAAAGGCCATTTTCGAAAAGACCCGGCGCGCCACGGGCGACATTGTGCTGTACGACTCGCACCTCGTCCTCTTCAAGGCGTCGCTCGACGTCATCTTCTACGTCGTCGGTCCCGCTGCCGAAAACGAGCTCATGCTCTCCGGACTGCTCAACTCGTTCTACGACGCCACAAGCATGCTCGTACGCCACCAGGTCGAGAAGCGCGCCATCCTCGAAAACCTCGACCTCGTCACACTCGCCCTCGACGAGACCGTCGACGACGGCATCATCCTCGAGACCGACAGCACCACCATCGCATCCCGCGTCTCCAGACCCCGCCCAGACGTAAACGAGATCCAGATCAACGAGCAGAGTGGGTGTCCAACCAGGGCTGCCGAGATCGATGTCCCTCCCTCGTCCGATGCCGTGCGGCGCTCCTCAACCGCATGCTCACCTCCTCCTTCCCTCCCTTTGCACCCTCCCTCCTCTCGCTCGCCTGCCGCAGCAATCATGAGCGCATACTCGAGTCTCAAGGAGAGGTTCGTATCCGTGCGCGACCAGAGCAGCCAAGACTACTGGCGCAGAAGCACCTGCCAGCTGGCCGACTGACTGACCACCCGTCTTCCTCCTTCCCCCGGCCACCCTTCTTGCCACGACGACAGGGTGGCGCAGCGCATCCTGCAGGGATCCATGTGAAGGCGTTCAAGCGGCCAAGGCGATGCTCGAATCAGGTCATGCTCTCCCGCCTTCACTCCTCGCCAGTCAGCCTTGGGCCAGCCGGCTGGCCTCAGTCTCCGGCACGACGTCGCAAATGTACAATAGACAGCCCACCCCCGAACAAACGCGAGGCGTCGTCGTCATCGTCATCTAGGCGCATCAGATTGCGGTCCCGCAGCGCCAGAGCGGGCGCGGGAACGACGCTCACCGAGCGCTGCCACAAGACTCTTCAATCTCCTGCTCCTCCTTCTCGAGCCTCCTCATCGTGGCCTCGAGGATCCTTTGCCGCCGCTCTTTGACGCTGGTCGGACCGCCATTCGCATCCGACGAGCCGGAGCCGGAGCCGGAGCCGAGTCTGCGTCCACCTGCAGCGCCGCCACCGCCGTCTCCGCCGGGCACGGCCATGGCGGCGGCATCGGGGTCGTAGGCGTCGCCCTCGACGAGCGCGTGGGTGCCCTCTGCCTTTCGCTGCTCGAACCCGGCAATCTGGGCATTGAGCTCGCTGTTGAACGTCTTGAAGTCGTTTGCGTGGCCGCCGTAGCGGTTGTGGGCGAGCTCGTGGACGAGGACGCGCCGCGTGGTGGTGTAGTTGCGGAAGCCCTCTGCGTCGTCGGTGCGCAGGCGCAGCGAGACCCTCTGGCCGGCATTCTCGTTGAGGCCCAGCAGCTCTGGACTCTCCCACGGCAGGAGCTCGGTCAGGATGCCGACCCGCAGGTCGTAGAGCCGACAGATGTGCAGGATGCCCGGGTCGTTTGCCAGGCGGGTGAGAAAGTCGACAATCTTGGAGTAGAGGGGCGAAGAGGCGGGCGTCGAGGCGTGGGGCTGGATAGTGCCGAATGGGCTGAAGCTCGCCCCGGGCGTCGCCGTGTTCCTTGGCTGTCGTCGGTGCAAGGGGCGGGTAGGGCAGGAGGGCGAGGCGAGGCGAGGCGAGGTTCAAGAGAGGATGGGGGGGGGGGGGATCAGCTCTGGTCGATTGTCCGCGCTGTGCCGCATTCGCAGCAAGTGGCCGCGCTGCCGGCTGTGCTCACCCTTGTACCACGCAGCATGCTCGGGTGGTACTGGCGAGGTCCGTTTCTGCGCCTGGCGTAGTCCTCCTGCTGCTGTATCCCTTGCAGCTCCTCGGAGGGGGTGCCGACGACCATGATCTTGAGGCCGGCGCTGGGAATGCCGGCCTGTGCGAGGGTGCGCTGGTCATTGTCGAGCGAGGGTGGTGTTGGGTCCGCGCCGCCGGCATCGTGGTGGATGGCTGGTGGCTGGTTGAGGTTGGCGATGCCCTTTGGTCTGGCGGGGAGGAGTTTCTGGTTGGGTGCCTCGACGTTGGTGAGCTGCTGGATGACGCTGCGCAGCGTGGCGAGCGTGGTGTCGGCTGGCAGATCGGTGAGGCGATGTACGTCCTTGCGAAAGGTGATTGTGAGGTCGATTGTGTTGTTCGAGGTAGTGGAAGATGAGGCAGGCTGGAGGGTGTCGGCGGCGTCGGCGTGGGCGGCGGCAGTGCTGGTCTCGGTCTCTAAGGTCATGGGCGCAGACGAGGGGTGGCGACTTTTCCCAATCGGGGTATTTACGGATCTATGGCGTGGGTGATGCAGGAGATGGTATCGTGGCAGGTGGTGGGTAGGTGTGCCGGTGGTCGATGGTCGAGGCAGATGGCAGGTGGCAGAGCAGGGAAGAGTAGTGTGGGTGGCGAGCAGCAGCGAGCGACAAGAGGATAACGCCGAGGTAGAGCTGAGCGAAGAAAGCGGGCCGACGCCAGCCACGCCAGCCCTTCCAGAACCCTGCAGCAGCCAGGCCAGGCCAAGTTGTGGAGGCCCAGGGGATGGGGGGTCGGTTCGCCTTGCACCCGCACGAGAGACGCCGGGCCTTGACTTGTTGGTTGGTCAGAGAGAGGCAACACACGAGCGCAGCCAAAAAGCGCGCCGGGTAACCGGCAGCCAGCGCCGGCTTGGTCAGATCAGCCAAATGGCCGGTAAGGTGGCTGACCGCTGCCTGCGCTCCCCGCTCGCCCCCCCGCCTTTTTTGTTCGGCCTGCAGGTCGGATAAATTCGCCAGCAGCCAGCAGGCGCGGGCGACTCTGACAGGCAGCGCCAAATTGACAGCCCAACACGCCGGCAAGCAGGCAGACCAGGCTAGGGTTGAGTTGGGTTGGGGCAGCCGCCAGCGGCCGCTGGGCCAAGCGAAGAAAGGCAGGCAGGCCACGCCAGGCCAAGGCGCGCGCCAGACGGTGGCCCAGGCGTCGTGGGTGGCCACCGGCCCAACCAGAGCCTCGGTGAGCCGGACCCGCCTTCTCGTCTACCCCGGTCCGCAGCTTGTCCTTGCTTGCTTCTGCGCCTTCCTCGCCCGCTCCGGCAATCCATCGACGCCTTAGCCGCCACCTGGCCCTATATAGCCAACCTCGCCCTGCTTTTCTACCCCACACTCGACGTCCCTCTTCCTTCACGCCTTCGTTCTAGAAGCCCATTACCGTCTCGTCCGTCTCCCTACCCCTTCTCTCCTCCCCTTCACCCCTTCGCCACCCACACGCTTCGCTTCGCCCCCCGCCCCGTCTCGCCATCATGTCGCTCACCACCGGCCCGCTCACCGGCGATGCCCTCATCACAAAGTACATTTCGCCCGCCACGTGGGCGCTGGTGCAGGACAAGTTCTCGCCCTTTGGCAAGCAGACCCTCATCAAGGTCATCAACTTTGTCGAGCACGAGTGCAACCCGGCCGAGGAGCTCTACCACGCCCAGGTCTCGACCGACCCCGCCACCCGCTGGAAGATTGTCCCCGAGATTGTCGAGCAGCTCAAGAAAAAGGCAAAGGCCCAGGGCCTCTGGAACCTCTTCCTCTCCAAGAAGCACTACCCTGACGTCGGCACCCCGCTCACCAACCTCGAGTACGGCATGATGGCCGAGATCATGGGCCGCGGCTCCCACTTCACCTCCGAGTCGATGAACTGCTCGGCCCCCGACACGGGCAACATGGAGGTCTTTGCAAAGTACGGCAACCAGGAGCAGAAGGACACCTGGCTCCGGCCCCTCATGAACGGCGAGATCCGCTCCGCCTTTGCCATGACCGAGCGCTTCGTCGCCTCGTCGGACGCCACAAACATCCGCACCTCGATCCGCCGCGAGGGCGACGAGATCGTCGTCAACGGACACAAGTGGTGGATCTCGGGCGCTGGCGACCCGCGCTGCGCCGTCCACCTCGTCATGGGCAAGTCGGACCCGGACAACGCAAACACCCACAAGCAGCAGAGCCTCGTCATTGTGCCCGCCAACGCGCCCGGCGTCAAGGTCATCCGCCCCATGCAGGTGTTTGGCTACGACGACGCCCCCGAGGGCCACTGCGAGGTCATCTACGACAACGTCCGCGTGCCCCTCAAGAACCTCGTCCTCGACTGGGGCCGCGGCTTCGAGATCATCCAGGGCAGGCTGGGACCCGGCCGCATCCACCACTGCATGCGCTCCATCGGCACCGCAGAGCGCGCCCTCGACCTCCTCCTGATGCGCGCCACCGACCAGCGCAAGAAGGCCTTTGGCAAGACGCTCAGCGAGCACGGCGTCATCGTCCAGAACGTGGCGTGGTGCCGCATCAAGATCGACCAGGCGCGCCTCCTCGTCCTGTCGGCCGCCAACATGATTGACGCCACCAACGCAAAGGGAGCGCTCAAGGACATTGCCATGTCCAAGGTGGCCGTCGTCAAGTCGGCCCTCGAGGTCGTCGACATGGCCATGCAGGCCCACGGCGCCGAGGGCGTCTGCCAGGACACGCCGCTCGCCAGCGCCTGGGCCGGCCTCCGCACCCTGCGATACGCCGACGGGCCCGACGAGGTCCACCTGCAGCAGCTCGGCAAGCTCGAGCTGCGTCGCGCCCCCGAGCTCTGGGACAAGGCCAACCTCCGCTCCGCCGTCTCCAAGAAGCTCATGGACAAGCACGGCCTCAAGTCGCACCTCTGACCTGGTCCTCGATGCTCGTTCCCCCGCTTGTATCATGCCTGCCTGCCTTGTGGTTGTTGCGCTTTTTCCCTGCTTAGAGGCGGTTGGGCAATGTAGGAAAGGAATACCTGGGTTCTCGTGACTCTCCGTCGTCGTCGTCGTCGTCGAAGTGCGTCGGTCGTGTCGGCCCGTTGATCGTGTGCGGCGGTATGGCCAGTCGAGCCCGGTAGATGTGCCTTGACCGTCTGCCCGCCTTTCTAGAGCCGGCGAAGGCCGTACAACCTGAGCACCTCATCCGACCTAGTCAGCTCGGTCGTCGAGTCCGAAGACGAACCGGCCTCGTCGTCGATGGTGGAGGGACTCCCAAAGACGGGATCGACGCCGCTGCCCATTTTCGGAAAGGGAATCACGTCGCGGATCGAAGTGGCGCCACACACGATGGCCATCAGCCGGTCGAAGCCTGTGACGTCCCCCGCCGGTCAGTCCAGTCGAGGTGAGGGGGATTAGGTTAGCCAATGTGGGGAAGACAAGGGGGAGGGAAGGGTATGGGGACGTACCGAGTGCGATGCCGCCGTGCGGTGGTGCGCCGCACGAGAGGGCGTGCAGGAGGTGTGAGAATCTAGACGTCTCCGAGGGCGTCAACTGCGATGGATGGTGCACGACGAGGAGGATGAAGTAACGATGGAGTGCGACAGGTCAGTACGGTCGCGGAGGCGAGGATGCGGAAGGCGGGCCCCACCGCTCGTCGTCCGGGACGCTGTGGCACACTCACCTTCAACACGTCCTCAAACACCCGGCGCTGCATGGCCGCATCGTGGATCCTGACGCTGCCGCCTCCAATCTCCTGCCCGTCCAGGACGAGGTCGTAGTGCTGCCCGCGCACGCTCCCCACGCGCGACGCATCCACCCCACCCGCGCGGTTGGCGAGCACGTGGGCGTCCTCGGCCATGGGCGCCGTAAAGGGGTGGTGGGACGACTGCCATCTCGTCTCGACGCCGCCTCCCGCTGCCGCTGCCGCTGCCGCCGCCGCCGCCGTTGGGCCCGAAGAGAGACGCGACAGCTCGTTTTTGTCCTCGTCGGCCAGCGTGAAGAGCGGGAACTCGGTGATCCACGCAAACTGCGGCTTCATCGACACGCTCAGCAGCCCCTTGGAGCTCAGCAGCGACGCTAGCGACTTGCGCAGGTCGCCCAGCGGCGTCGAGCCGCCCTCTGGCGGGGACGGGCGCGTCGACACGAAGACGTCGACCGCGCCATCGCCGTCGGCCGCGATCCCCTCCGAGGCGCGCGACGAGGCGAGCACCTTGGCGAGGTGACTCGAGAGGCGGTCCACGTCGACCTCGGATGCCTGCAGCTCGCCGTCGCGGTGGTGCGAGAGGGCGTGGCGAACCCTCTGGCTCTTTTTGAGCAGCAGCGCGGCGAGTTCGTTGGTGTTGTGCCAAGACGCGATCCGGAATCGCTCGACCTGACCCCGGAACGGCGCCAGCAGGCCCTCGAGCTCCTTGTTGGACAGCTTGCCGGCGTTAGTATGGTGATGCGGGAGGATCTCGAGCGCCACGCCGACATCCTCGTTCTGGGCCGGGGATGGCGACGGCGATTCGGCGGCGTCCTCGTGGTGTCGAAGGCCAGACGAGATGTCCGAAATGCGCAGGCCGTACCGCAGATCAGGCTTGTCGGAGCCGTAGGTGGTCATGGCAGTCCAGTAGGAGAGCACGGGGAAGCCCCGCTTCCGCCCCGGATCCTCGTAGAGATGGTCGAGGCTGCCCTTACCCGCCGCAGCCCAGATCCGCGCGATGAGTCCTTCAATGACATCGCGCACCTGGTGGCCTCCGATGCGCCACTGGCCCTGGGCGTCTCTCGCATCGACTTCGACTTCGGCCGCAGTGGCTGCCGCCGCCGCGTGCTTCGATGCAGAGGGAGGACCGCCGCTGACGAAGCCCATCTCGAGGTCGATCTGGGTAAACTCTGGCTGGCGGTCCTTTCTGCCATCCTCGTCGCGGAAGCACTTTGCGATCTGGAAGTATCTATCGGTGACGCCGGATGCGATGAGGAGCTGTTTGGGCTGCTGAGGCGACTGCGGCAGGGCATAGAAGCTGGGTTCGGGATGTCGTTGCTGCTGTTGCTGACTGCCTGCTGTAGATGAGGGGGAGGAGGCTATCCGCGTGGGTACGAGAAACTCTCTTGCGCCCTCGGGCGTGCTGCGGAGCAGGATTGGGGTTTCGATTTCGAGAAAGTCCTGGTCGTAGAGGTGGGTGCGTATGGACTGTGCGATCCTGCTGCGTAGGCGGATGTTGTCGCCAAGGGCCTTTCGGCGGAGGTCGAGGTAGCGGTAGCGTGCCCTGACCTCGGGCGAGATGCGGTCCGCATGCTGCGAGTCGGAGGGGAGGAAGGGGAGGTCGCGCCGTGCCGGGTTGAGGAGCTGGAGCGACGAGAGACGGATCTCGATGAATCCAGAGGGGAGCGAGGGGTTGCGATCTGCCTCTGGGCGGAGCTGTACGTGACCCGTTGCGAGGACGACGCTCTGGAGGGGCATCGACGAGGTGGAAGCGATGAGGGCCTCGAGGCGTTCGTCGCCGTCGGCCTGGAGCACGAGCTGTACTGAGCCCGTGTGGTCGCGGAGGGCGACGAATCCGAGGTGCTTTGATACGATGCGGAGCGAGTCGAGCCAGCCTGCGAGTACGACTTGTTGGCCGGCGTGGTGCTGGTCGAGCTCGCCGCAGCGGTGGGTCGAGGGGTGGAATGCGCCGTGGTGGGCCGAGTGGGTGGGTGCGTCTGCCTGTGCGGAAGAGCTGTCTATGGAATGCGAGGAACACTTTGGGCTAGAAGTGACAAAGCAGCGTGCAGGGTGGCGGAGACGTGGTGTCTGTCTGCACGAGGATGGTGATGGTAGCGGTGCGGTGCTGGCGGCGAGGTGAGGTGAAGCGCGGCCAAGTCGCAATAGCGAGCGGGCGGTGTTGGGCCTCGGCAGAGCCGTGAGCCTGCACGCCATGATGATAAGCGGAGGCTGCTCTATGGCTTTAGAAGCGATGCTGCGGATTGAAGGGGCAGAGAGAGGGTGGTGGAAGGGAGAGGGAGAGGAGGGTTACAGGAGAGGGAGAGGGAGAGGGAGGGAGAGGAGAGTTAGAGGAGAGAGAGAGGGCAAAGGCAGAGGTCGGCCCACCGCCCCAACCTTAACCGCTCCACATTCGACATTCTTAGTTGGCTTCTTGTCGCCGCTGTCGACTGCCTCGCCTGTTTTGTCGGCCGGCAAAGGACGGCAAACCGGCGGCTGCCCTCAACGCGTCGTGATGGCCTGGCAGCTGGGCGGGTGGGCGTGTGTCAATCTGCCCTTCGCCGTTCGCCATCAAGATCCCATCAGGCCCACCATCACCAACACCCCCCGCCGCCCATCTACCCTGCACCGTCGCGCCCAGCAGAGCAGGGCAGTCCGCTCCAGCGCCACCTCGTCGCCATGTCCGACCGTCCAAGGAGGTCGGCCCGCAACTCGAGCTACAACTCGCCCGCCCACACCCCAGCCCCCACCACTGCTGCCACATCCACACCATCCTCCCGCCTCGTCAGCCAGCACCAGCACCAGCACCAGCACCATGCCACCCCCTCTGCAGCAGTAGCAGCAGCGGCACAGCGGACGTCCCAGTACCACCAGCTGCCGCCTCAGCCCCATCAACTGGCCCACCACTCTGCCCATGCCACTCCCGGCCCAAGCAGAACCGCCAGTGCAGCAGGCCATCACCCGCCCCAAACCCCCTACTTCAACGTCCAGCAACCACCACAGCAGCAGCCTCACCTCCACCAGCCGCACCACTCGCACCCCCAGCAGCATCCTCAGTACGCAGCACCCCAACCTCACATGACCTACCAGCTCCCGCAGGCCTGGACCCTCTCGAGGGGCGCCGCCCCCATCCTCCCCTTCACCCCCCTCGTCCCGCCCCTACCCGCCAACTTCCCCAGCACCTCGTCCCACCCCGCCCGCCACGTCCCGCAGGCCATCTACACCACCTTTCCCTCGCGCATGCGTGCAGGCATCACCACCCTCATGCAGCCCATGCAGCCAAACGACCTCATCGACCCGCTCGCACGGCCCCTCGATCCGCTCTCGACCCCACTCCACGAGTCCCGGTTCGACTACGGCACCCCAGGCGCCTCTGCTGCCAGCCTCCTCCGCTCCACCAACCGCACCTCGAGGCGCAGGGCCGCTGCCGGCTACATCCGATACGCAGAGGCCGAAGACTCGGGCGAGGACTTTGACGACGAACTCGCAGCCGCAACGCCCACCGACGACGACGCCCAGGCATCCCGCGGCCTCAAGCGCAAACTCACCGGCCTCGACACGCCAGACGGCTTTGCGCCTTCTGGGCTGCCAGACGAGCAGGGGCAGGTTGGCGGCGATGAGGAGGAGGAGGAGGAGGAAGAGGGCTTCCGATCCTACCTCGGCCTGCCGCCGCCGGGCAACAAGGTCGTGGCGCGCCGCATGTTCCGCCCCACGGCCCACCTCTACCACGACGATGAGGAGCTGCACAAGCAGGCGCTCCGCAACGAGGTCCTCGTCCCCATCCGCATCGAACTCGAGACCGAGACCCACCGCATCAAGGACACCTTCACCTGGAACATGAACGAGAAGCTCATCTCGCCGCTCCACTTTGCCCGCCTGCTCCTCGAGGACCTCGACCTGCCCCTCGAGCCGTACCAGGCGCAGATCGCCCACATGATCACGCAGCAGGTCGAAGAGGCCATCGGCGTCGCCGACATCGAGATGGAACCCGCAGCCGGCGGCATCTGGAGCCCCGCCAGGCTCGAGGCAAAGGAGGGCGAGCTGGCCCTCACGGAAGAGGAAAAGGCCCAGTACGACCCAGACGAGGAGGACGTCAAGGAGGCCAGGCAGTGGGACTGGGGCCTGGCGCGGCTCGACCCGGAGCAGAAGGACTGGCGGCTGCGCATGCAGAAGCGCCTCAAGACGGGCGAGGGCCTCGGCACCATCGAGGACGACATGAGGGTCATTGTCGATGTAAGTGGCGAAGCGCCCCGAAGCTGCACGTGGTGTGGGCCAGAGCCTGTCTGAGTCGACCAAAGTGACCGACCGAGCTGATTGGACTCCCCCCCCCCCCCTTTTCTCTCCTCGTGGCCACCATCCGCGCCCCACTCACCGCAGTACGAGGTGCAGATCCTGCGCCACTCGCTGCGCGACCGGCTCGAGTGGGACCTCTGCTCGCCGCTGACTCCCGAGTCGTTCGCGACGCAGCTCTGCAAGGACCTCGGGCTGACGGGCGAGGCGCTCTCGCTCATTTCCAACTCGGTGCGCGAGCAGCTGCTCAACCACAAGCGCGCCGCGCTCGAGCTGGGCCTGCTGGGCACGGGCAAGCTGTTCCGGGACAAGGAGGCCGAGATTGTCGAGGCGGGCGAAGAGGTGCTGCGGGAGCGGGCGGAAAAGATGCGGCGGAGGCTCGAGGGCACGGCGACCGTGTCTGGCACCGAGACGCCGAGGAGCGAGAACGAGGGCGAGGGCACCGACGTCGAGGTCCAGACGCCGACGTCGGCCATGCAGCAAGACGAAGATGGCGGCGGCCAAGAGGCAGGTCTGGCGGTCACGACGCGGGCCACGCCCACACCGACGCCGACACCAACACCAACACCGGCAGCGCAACCGGCCGAGGCGGGCGACGGGCAAGACTCGGAGACGGAAGAGGTCGAGACGCTGCACCTCACCGCCCCGGCCACGGCGGCGGGCACGGCAGCGCCGACGCGCGAGCCCTCGACGACGCCTGCGCCGACGTCGACGTCGACACCGGCCGTCTCTACGCCAGTAGTGGGCGGTGCAGGCGGAGCGACGAGGACTTCATCGCGCCTTGCCGCCGCCGCTGCCGGTGGTGTTGGAGGGGGGAGCGGCGCTTCGGGTGCCGCGGCGGCGACGGGGGACGAAGAGCCACGGCCATCGGCGGCGCAGCGGCTGGCGTCTGCGTCGCTCGTGGTGCGCGACATCCTGTCCAAGGGCGCGAGGCCGATGGAGGGCGTGTGGCGGGACTATGTCGAGAGCCGCGAGTTTGGACCGCTCCTCGAGCGCCTCTCGGACGAGGACCTGCAAAAGGTCGAAGAGGCAAACGTCCGCGCTTCCAGGTGAGTGCTGCCGTGCCTTGCCGTGCCGTGCCCGAGACGTGCGTCCGGCTCCAGAAGCAGAAGATCGGAGAGCTTACCCCGTCTTTTGTCTGTTCGCTCCTCTGCTTCCTTCTCTGGGTCTGTTCGCGGCTCTAGGCGCAACCGCCGCGAAGCGCAGCGCGGGTACGCCACGTCGGGCAGGAGAAGGAGGTAGTCGCCCGCCTAGCCTGGCCTGGCCTGGCCTGGCCTGGCCTCCCCTCACCGGGCCGTGCCGGCTCGTCGGCTCGTCATCCAGCTTGTTTCCCCCAGTCGAGTCGTCGTACATGGTCGCTTGCCCGCGTCCAACGAAAAAGCAGCTTCGCCATAGCATGGCATGGCATGGCATGGCATGGCATGCACTCTTCTCCCCTCCATCCCCGCGCCAGTGCTACCGCCGTGCCGGGCGGTCGGTCCTGGTCGATTGGACTGATTGTGATGGGTGTTTCGACATTGTTGGAGCGCTGCTGATGCTGCTGATGCTGCTGCTGCCGCTGCTGCTGCTGCTGCTGGGTTTGGTTGCTGCTAGAGATACATTCGAGACGGGAGCGGGATGGGCGAGGGGGCAAAGACAAAAGAGAGATCTAGGACGAGGAGGCGACAGGCTTAGCGGCCGCCGTGTCCGCCGCCAGAGTAGGAGCCGGCCGAGATGGTGTTGACGCCCTGCTTGCTGTCGTTGGTGGAAGAGTAACCCTCCTTTGCGTCTGCGGAAGGGGTCAGGGGCCAGGATCGGGATCAAGCAGACTCGATGGGTGAGCATGCAGCTCGTGTGATGGCAGCGGCGCAAGGTGGAGAGGGAGACGGGAAAAGGGGACGCCCGCCCAACACTCACTGGCAGACTGGAGCTGACCGCGCTCGAGGAGAATCTTGGCGACTTCGTCGTCCTTGTGGGTGCCAAAGACGGTGTCGAGCTGCTGCTTCGAGGGCTGGCCCATGATGCCCTGGGCGCCCTGGCCCGTGTGGAAGACCTGGAAGCTGTCGACGACCTCGGTGAGCGGGATCGTCTTGTCGCCCTTGATCCACTTCTGGTACTGCTCGTCCGGCAGGCGGACACAAGCGGTGCAGAGAGGGGAAGAGGGGGAAGGTGGATGTCAGTGCGACTGTGCGCGGTGGGTGCCGACGAGGTTTGGGCGGGAAGCAATCGGCGGGGCCGAGGAGGGGGGGAATGCGAAGAGACGAGACGCACCTCGTCCTGGTTAACAATCATCATAAACTCGTCAGTCGACTGCGAGTCGGGCTTGTAGACGACCTTGTGGAACGAGCGGACCATGTTGGGCGAAAGCGGGTGGTGGGGTCGTGGGGTGGTGCTGGTGTCGTGGATGGGAAACGGGTGACGAGGAGAGGCTGGGTTCAAAGAACAGTAGAGTAGTGCGGTCGGGGTGGTGTTGGTGGTGGAGAGGAAGGAGGAGGTTCGGCTAGAGGAGCCCCCAGTCTTATATCCATCGACGGAGGGGCCGGGGCAAGGGCAGGGGAGACCGGATGGACGGCCGTGGAACCGAGCGGAGGGGTGACGCTCGGTCCAACCACGGCTTGTCGATCGTCGTCCGTTGGCGAGCGAGCCAGCCAGCCAGCCGGCCAGCGAAGCAGCGAAGACAGGCCAGGCCAGGCCAGGCCAGGCCAGGATAGGCCAGGCAGGACAGGCTAGGATCCGTCACGGTACATGCAGCGCCGTAGCATGCCATGGTCGGTCTGCTCCACCAGAGGCAGCAGGAGACAAGGCAGGCAGGGTCTCGTGAGGCGGGCAGGCGCAGCCAGGCTCGCCGGGCGGCCAGGCCAGGCCAGCGCAGGCGGCGGTGGGTCATCACCGTGCCTAGGCTCTGCACCGACGGCCCCCGCTTGGCCTGCAAAGTGACGACAGGGCCCCCGTGCCAGCCGCTCGACGACGTGCAGCCGTGGCCCGAGCGGCTGGCGGCATCTCTCGGCCGAGGCAGTGCAGCTCACAGCATCATCCGCTTGCCTCTCCCGCTCGCTCAGTCGGCCTGTCGGGTTCACCCGCCGTCGTCGTCGTCGTCGTCGTCGTCGTCGCCGCTAGTCTGGCATTCATCTTCTAGACCCATGCAGGCCGTCAAAAAGGGGTATATCGAGGGCACGGCTACGTACGGACGGTGCGGGCAGTCTCGCTCCCGGACAGGTGGCAGAGAGCTAAGCAAGGTGGGGGACGAGGAAGAGGGGTTAAGAAACGACGGCGGACGGCTCGCCGGGCCTCTGGCTCCGATGAGATGTCGTCGTCTGTGGTCGTGAAAAGTCGTGGGCTTGGTCGTGTAAGAGTGTGTGGCGTCGGGAAAAAAAGGCTACGCGGCCGAGGATGCTTGCCGCCTCTCTGCCATGTTGGCACCTTCGCCCTCGGTGTCGGACGGCGCGGCCTTGGCATGGTCCCCGTCGTCCGTCGTCGCTAGTTGCTCCTGTTCCGTCAAGGATGGCTCATTGCCAAAGTGCGACCCATCCGCCTGTGACCCTGCGTCCGCGTCTGGAGCGACGCGGTCCAAGGATCGGTCACCATGTCCTTCCGCCTCCTCGTCCTCGGGCTCGGGCGTCTTGGACCGCATCGATGGAGCAGTGGCCAGCGGTCCGCCCGCATCCTCGTCGATGATACTCAGCACGTTCTGCAACCGGCTCGCCGCGGCCGAGACGGCACCGATGCCGACCCCGCTCCCATTTCCGCTTCTCGATGTGCTCGAGGCCGTCGCTGCCGTCGCCGAATCGATATCGCCCGGATCTGCCGCCTCACGCTCCCTCCTATCGCGGTTCTTCTCCCGGTCGCGATCGAGCAGCTCTTCAAAGTCCATGCTCTCGCTGCCGAACAGGCCCGTTGTCGCCACGCTCGACTCCGAAGTGGCGACCGAGGTGGTGGCATCCGAAATGGCCGAGAGCTGCGGAGCATGGCCGTGGACGCGCTCGCCGTGTCCGTGGCCACCTGCGCTCGAGGACGAGCCGCGCTTGGAATGCCGGGCCTGTGTGGGCGTGGCCTCGGCTTGGGGCGATTGGCCCACCATCGAGGGCGAGGCGGCGCTGCTGCTGCCGTTGGCAGGCCGCGAGAGGCCCCTGGACGGCGTCGTCGGCGACATTAGGCTGGCCGGGCTGATGGTCGACGATGCGGGAGCGCCGTTGGCGGCGTACGACTGTGCGCCTGCGGTGGGCGCACTGGGGGCGCCCTCGGGCACGACGCCGTGGATCGAGTTGGCGGCAGAAGAGAGCAGCGACGTCGGGGGCAGGATGCTGAAGATCTGGTCGTCCTGCTTCGGCGGGCCATACGAGCCAAAGGGGTCCGGGATGGCCGAGAGCATGGGCTCGAGGATGGGGTCCGAGAGGCCCTTTGAGCTGATGCGCTCAGAGATCTCGATCTGCGAGCGGACGACGAGCGCCACCTTGCTCGAGATAAACTCCCAAACCTCCTCCTCGGACTCGAGGACCTCGTGGTAATAGTGGGCCTTTAGCTCGTCGAGCTCGTCGACGTGCGCCTGGAGCTCCTGGAGCGCGCGGCGGAACTGGTTGAGGTCGCGCTCTTTGCGCCTGCCCGTGCGCATGTTGCGGGCCTCGGCCTCCTTGAGCTGCTTGCTCTTTTCGGTGATGGCCTTGTCGTGGGCGAGCTGGCGGTCGTTGCACGCGGCGCGGTAGGTGTCGTAGTGGCTGAGCAGGGGGATGCTAAAATCTTTCCAGAAGGTGTCGCAGAGCACCTGCTCATAGTTGCTCTTGAGGAAGTGGAGACCGCTGGCGGCCTGGAGGCCCGCGCCAGAGTCGTGGGCGCCCTTGACACGGGCGCACTCCTCGAGGGCGCAGGCAAAGTCGGACGACGCCTTGGCCATGGCGAGCATCGTGTTGGTGTAGGCCTTGGCCGAGGTGAGCAGCTTCTCGTAGGCGTTGAGCGAGTTGCGCAGGTCGGCGCGGGTGATGAGCACGGCGGGGCGAGATGGGAAATCGAGCGAGGCGCGCGTCGTCGAGCTCAGGCTCGGTGACGGCGGTCCGCCGCCCTGCTGGACGCTCCGGAAGGAGCGTGGACCCGGCATCGGGTAGCGGGGTCGGCGCCGGTGGCCTCGTGAGGTGCGATTCGAGAGTCGGGCGGCGAGAGTGCAGGGCTGCTTCGGCGCCGAATGGTGTTCCGTATCGGCGATGCTCCCCGGCAGACCTGAGAGCTGGGACGTTGCGAAATAGGGCGGGAAGATGCCGTCGGACCGAAGTGCCTTCGTAGCGCGGAGTGCGCCGACTTCGTGTGTTGCGAGGCGAGACGACAGTCGATAGATTCTGCCGCCGCTTGTCGGTAGCCAGGTGTCGCGTTGAAGTTGACGAAAGGCTCGAGCGACCGGCGGTGGCGATTGAGAGCCAGCGGGAGATGGAGTCTTTCAGAGTGTCGACTGGCGACGGCGGCGGCAAGGGCGGCAAGGGCGGGTGTTGGTGTTGGGCTCGAGGTCGAGAGGCAGGCCAGTCCAGGCTAAGCTTTTGGGCGCTGAAGCGTGGGGGGCGCGCCAACGTGCGTGCGTGCGTGCGTGTTTGGGCCGACAGGGGGCGACTCGGCTCTGGAGCCATCCGCCAGGTTGCGAGCCCCTTGGCTCGGATGTCGGACGTTGAAGTGGCTGGCAAGCATCCGAGCCAGCCGGCTGCCGTGCTTCTGGAAAATGCCTTGGAAATATACCAAAAAAATCGCCCGCCGTTGCGAAGGCTGCGCTGGCACGGGGAGGCCGAGAAGGGAGCCAGACTCTCGAGCAGGTCTGATCCAAGGCAGCCTGGCAAATCCTCTATCTGCCTTTCTGTCCTAGATTTCGAGCAAGGCGCTCCGAGAGAGAGGGAATGAGAGACGTTTGTGTGCGAAGATGAGAGAGATAGGGACGTCGCACGAGATGGCCAGTAGCCCAAGCTTGGGGAGGCGGAATCTCGTGGCGGCGGCGGTGGTGGCGGCGGCGGCAGCAGATCGACTGACGGGCGCTCGGACCTCCACCGCCCAGGAGGCCGAGGGTGAGGTTCCAGCGCCCGCTGCCCGTGCCGGGTGTGCTGTGCTGTGCTGCGCTGTTGGTCTCGCGAGCGTCGGGCTGGCTACAGGTTAGGCCTCTGCTCGGCCCCTTTTTGCCGTCTGGTTGGTTTGGCAGCCTGAGCTGGCGCAGCTCGGCGGTGAGACGTACGCTGCGCTGGCTCCCCCTGCAGGCTGAGCAGGCTCGCTCGCGCCAACACGCAGCCCAGCTGCCAGCCCAGGCCAGCCCAGAACAGGCCCCCCGCCAGCCCTCGAATACGGCGTGCGTGCGTGCGTGCGAGCGAGCGAGCGAGCGAGCGAGGATCGCCTTGGAAGCTTCACCCCATCTCTCTGTCTCTCTCTGCCCAGCTTTCAATCGCGCTACCGCCAACAAAACCACCATCGACGACCACCCAACACCACGCCCTAACCCTAGTAGCCACACACCGCCAGCCTCTGCCTTCTAGCACCATGTCCCACGCCCAAGACCCCACCATCGGCGACGACGAGCTCGCCACCACCAGTGAGTGCAGCTGCGGCCTCCCAGCTCACCTCCTCTCCCCGCCCACCATGGCATGCGCCCGCGACTGACATATTGTCCCCGCCTTCGCCCTTCTCGTGCCCTCCGACGCCTGCATCGCCCTGCAGAGACTGCCGGCTACAACCCGGGAGAGAAGAAGACGCTCGACGAGTACACCAAGCTCGACGCAGAGGACGAGTCGCTCGCAAGGTGGAAGGCCAGCCTTGGTCTCGACACCGCCTCGGCCGCCGTCGACCCAAACGCTCCCAAGGTGCGCCATGGCCTTGCATCGAAATCGGTCTCCTCTCGTCGCCAGCACCAGCCGACCCATTCTCACCTCGCTTCATCCTTCCCCGACCACACGATCCGCTCCCGCTTCATTTCCCCGCCTCGCAGCTCCAGCTCCACAGCATCTCGCTCGTCTCGCCCTCGGCGCCAGGCGGTGCCGTCTCCATCGACCTGCAGCAGCCAAAAGAGCAGCTCGAGGCGCTCAAAAAGAACCCGCTCAACGTCAAGGAGGGCGTCGACTACAGCGTCAAGATCGTCTTCAAAGTCGGCAATGAGATCCTTTCGGGCCTCAAGTACGTCCAGGTCGTCAAGCGTGCCGGCGTCACCGGTGAGTCGTCCCGAGCGAGCAGCAAAAGCAGGGTGGCAGAAGCAGGAGATGGGCCCGGCGGCTTCACGGTTGCTGACTGACCAGCCCAACCATCCAACGACGGCCGCGTGCGTTGTAGTCGACCGCATGGAGGAGATGATTGGATCGTACGGCCCGCGCGCCGAGCCGTACGAGAAGAAGTTTGCGTCCAACGAGGCCCCCAGCGGCATGCTGGCGAGGAGCGGCACCAACACCGTCCGCAGCAGGTGAGTCCGGCCCGCCATCGCTGTGTCCGGTCGACAGGGTCGCGAGCGCTGATGCCTCGACCCGCAACTCTTGTGCATCTGTGCGCGTGACGACGCTGCGCAGGGTGGTCGATGACGACGGCAACGTCTTTGCCGACTGGACGTGGGCATTCAAGGTGAGTGCCGAGCGCTGGCAGTGCCGCATCGCCGAGCGCAGGGTCGACCAGAAGCTGACGCTTGTGGCTTTCGTGCTCGCCCCGCCCGCTCGCCCGCTCTTGCCCGCTCGTTTTGGCGTGCCCAGATCACCAAGGAGTGGTGATTCCGCCACCATGCCGTCCGAGGCCTGGCCGGCGTCGCAACGTTCGGTCAGCTCGCCTGAACCGGCCTCTCTTCTGGCAGACATCCCTGCCCCTCGGCCGCTCCGTCTGTCTGCTGCCCTATCCTGCATCACACGCATCCATACCACTGAATATCCCGCACGACCCGAACCTAATGCCGAGACCGCTGAATCACAGCCATGTGGCTCACGCCTGACCCTCCGCGGGAGAAAGAGAGAGAGAGGAGAGAGAGAGAGAGAGAGAGAGAGCAAAGAGGCGAGAGAATGAAGGTGCTGTGTGGGATTGCGGGAGAGGCAAGGTGGACCGGCCGGCCGGCCGCTTCGAAGGCTGAGCCTCACCCGAGGAAGTTGAAGACGAAAAAGTGGAACAGGACTGATGCGAAGAGGAAGTCGCCGAACGCTCTGTTGCGAGAGAGGACACGGGGAGACGGAGGGTGGCACACAAAGAATCTCAGCCGCTGTCGCTGTCGCTGCAGCAGTAGCTGCGATGGGATGCGATGGGATATTTGAAGCGGAGCGACGTACCTCTCTGGCGAGACCTTTGGGAAGACGTGGCTGTTTTCGGGGTTGGCCTGGATGCGGAGCGAGGCGGCGAGAACAAACTGGCCGACGGTGGATGCGAAGCTATCGTGCGTCGTTGTCGGAGGGGTCGGAACATCAAACGTCTAGGGAGGTCAGCAGAGGAAAGGAGGAGAGAGAAAGAGAGAGGCCAGAGATGGCGCTGGACGGGGTCTTGGGCCTGGGGGGGAAAGGGGGAGACACTTGCCCTGCAATAAACGAGTTGAAGGGGTAATTTGTGATGGCGATGCAGTAGACAAACTGGATGATGCCGCTGACCATGAGGAAGACGAGGAAGGCGTCGACGAGCTTGAGGCGTTTTGGCGTCGTGGCGACGTAGGAGTTGTAGAGGGCCGAAAAGGGCGACGACGAGGCGGACGCGGGCGTCGAGCGGGCTAGGGGCTTTGGTGGTGCCATCTTGAGCCGAGGACCTTTCGACGAAGAGGGAGGATGCGACGGAGTGCAGAAGCTTGCGCGCGCAGTCAGCGGGTAGGTACCGGAGTGAAGATGCGATGGCGGAAGAGAGCGGCAGCGGGTCGGGAGGCGAGGTCGAGGTGGAAAGCAAAGCAAGCGAGCAAGGCGGTGAGGTGAGCTCGAGGTGCGAGCTTGGAACCTAGTTGCCCCGTCCCGCTGGCGGCAGAGGGGGTGGTCTGACCGCGTTGCGAACAAGCGGCAGCCAGCCAGCCGTGCGACAGAGACGGGCCCAAAAAAGTAGGCAAGGCGGGGCCCGCGCTAGGCAGAGCGGGAAGGCAGGGCCAGGCAGGGTCAGGCAGGGTGATGGCATGCAAACCTTCGATCTTCGCTGCGCTCGCCCGCACCTGGGCAGGCTGGCAGGCTGCCCTCGGCCCCTGCCGTTCAGGCTAGCGCCCCCTCGCCAGGCCCGCTCGCCTGCCGGTGGTGAGTGGGTGGCCTGCCATCAAACTTTTTTCCCCACCTGACGCCCTCCCGCCACCGCACCACCGCCATCACCCTCGGCACTCCTCCATCTCCTCACCTCCCAACCCCTCTCGAGACCACACCGGCGAAAGCGTATTGCGCCCATCGCCAGTCCTCCGACACCGTCGACCAACCCTCTTGCCGAAGGCCGACAGCAGGAACCCATCCTTTTGCTTGAAAGCGGTGCACGTCCGACGACGCTTCGGATCCTCCCGAGTCCCAACCACCCCTGCACCTCTGCACCCGCCGCCCACGACCGACCGCCCGCCATGAACCCCAACGCACGAAGCTTCAACTTCAACCCCAACGCCCAGGGCTTTGTGCCCCCGGGCGCTCAGCAGCAGGGGGGCAACCCCTATGGCCAGCAGCAGCAGCAGCAGCAGGGCGGCTACTACCAGCAGGGCTTCAACCAGCAGGGCTTCAACGGCGGCTTCACCGGCCAGCAGCAGCAGCCCTACGGCCAGCAGTACCCGCAGGGCGCGTACGGCGGCGCCTACCAGCAGCAGGGCTTCAACCAGGGCGGCTACGCCCAACAGGGCTTCACTGGACAGCCCGGCGGCGCCTTCCCGCCTCGCGGTGCATCCTACCAGGGTCAGCCGCGCCAGCACAACAACCTCCCCCAGCAGCAGCAGCAGCAGCAGCAGCAACCCGGCAACGCCTCGATCCCACCAAAGCCCCAGGGAGCCGCCGGCCTGCCGTCCAACCCGACCGCTGCCGTGGCAGAGGCTCAGGCGGCTCGCAAGCCCGTCTCGCTCTCGATTGGCGGTGGCAGCAGCAGCAGCACGCCCGCCGCCGCCGCCAACACAGCAAAGGCTGACGGCGATGCGCCCAGGAAGCCCGTGAGCATCAGCATCGGCGGAGGCGCAAAGCCTGCCGCCGACAAGAAGCCCGTCAGCATCTCGATTGGCGGCGGCGCAAAGAAGGCCGCCGAGGCGCCCGCGCCAAAGGACAAGTCGGCGGCACCAGCAGCGGCTGCTGCTTCCGAGCCTGCGGCCTCCGACTCCGCAGCAGCGACTCCGGCCCCCGCTGGAGGTGTGGCGGCGGTCAAGGCGGCTGCGGCTGCCGACTCGCCCGCGTCTGCCACGCCCGCTGCCTCGTCGACCACATCCTCGCCGCGCGCCCAGTCGCCGGCTTTCGCCGCCGCTGCCTCGACGACGACCAAGGCTTCCTCCAAGGCTCTGGCCGTCGAAAAGAGCAAGACCGACGCCGAGCAGGTGCTCGAGGAGGCCACCAAGGCCACCGACGAGGAGACGCTCAAGGACCTGTTCGGCGACAAGTCCGACAGCCTCAAGTCGCACCTCAACATTGTCTTTATCGGCCACGTCGATGCCGGCAAGTCGACCATGGGCGGCCAGCTGCTCTTCCTCACCGGCATGGTCGACAAGCGCACCATGGAGAAGCTCGAGCGCGAGGCCAAGGACGCCGGCCGCGAGTCGTGGTACATTTCCTGGGCGCTCGACTCGACGTCCCAGGAGCGCGCCCAGGGCAAGACGGTCGAGGTGGGCCGCGCCTACTTTGAGACGGGCAAGCGGAGGTACACGATCCTCGACGCCCCCGGTCACAAGTCGTTTGTGCCGTCGATGATCAGCGGCGCGTCGCAGGCCGACGTGGCCGTGCTCGTCATTTCGGCGCGCAAGGGCGAGTTTGAGACGGGCTTTGAGCGCGGTGGCCAGACGCGCGAGCACGCCGTGCTGGTCAAGACGGCCGGCGTCCAGCGGCTGGTGGTCGTCGTCAACAAGATGGACGAGCCGACGGTGCAGTGGGAGCAGAGCCGGTACGACGAGATTGTCAGCAAGCTGTCGCCCTTCCTGCGCGGCACGGGCTTCAACCCAAAGACGGACGTCACCTTTATCCCGGTGTCGGCCTACTCGGGCCAGAACCTCAAGGAGCGCGTGCCCAAGGACATCTGCTCGTGGTACACGGGGCCCAGCCTGCTCGAGTTCCTCGACGACCTGTCGCTGAGCGACCGCAAGATCAACGCGCCGCTCAAGATGCCCATCTCGGAGAAGTACAACGACATGGGCACCGTCGTCGTGGGCAAGCTCGAGGCGGGCAAGATCAAAAAGGGCGACTCGCTCGTCCTGATGCCCAACAAGACGCCCGTCGAGGCCGTGTCGATCTTCAACGAGCAGGAGGAAGAGGTGCCCGCCGCCATCTCGGGCGACAATGTGCGCGTCAAGCTCAAGGGCGTCGACCACGAGGACGTCACCGTCGGCTACGTCCTCTCGGACGCAAAGGAGCCCGTCCACGTCGCCACCCACTTCGAGGCGCAGCTCGCCATCCTCGAGCACCGCAACATCATCTGCGCCGGCTACAGCGCCGTCCTCCACTGCCACACCGTGTCCGAGGAGGTCAACCTGTCGGCCCTGCTCCACTACTACGACAAAAAGACGGGCAAGAAGAGCAAGCGCGGACCCCAATTCGCCAAAAAGGGCATGAAGGTCATCGCCCTCATCGAGGCCGCCGCGCCCGTCTGCGTCGAGCGCTTCAAGGACTACCCGCAGCTCGGCCGCTTCACGCTGCGCGACGAGGGCCGCACCATTGCCGTGAGTCGAGTGCTGCCGCCCTGCCCGCCGCAGAACGTCTCGGAGTCGGTGTGTTCCCCGAAGTCGAAGTGCGATGCTGACCGTCGACCTCCTTTGGCTCCTATCGCCCGCTTACCCACTGACCCCACCCCCACAGATCGGCAAGGTGACAAAGCTCATCACCAGCGCCGAGGAGATGCCAGACGTCAGCAAGCTCTCGGTCGAGGCCACGGCGGCGGCCAACTGAGGCCGCCATGCTGCACCTGTAATTAGTTCGTCCGTCGCCTAGCCCCTGAGGGCTGGAAGAAAACGCCACGATCTCCTCAGCCTTCCTGTCCGATGATCGACGTGCGTGTGCGAGCTTGACGACGGCGGGCGACCGGGCGGGCGGGGGGCGAGGTAGCTTGACGCTTCCGATCCGGCTCGGCTCGTTGTTGCACCCCGGCTGCACTCGTCGGAGAGAGCGGGACGGGCTAGAGGTGCTTTCTCGCGCTCGCCTTGACTTTTGCATCGAACGACGCCGACGTGATGGCCGTGTTTGGATCAAAGAAGGGATTGAGCGAGACCTGCCAGGCGATCCTCCCGGGAAGAAAGAGGGGGACAGGATCAGCACCTCTCTCCTCCTCTCGGTTACACGCACACACTGGCGTCGTAGGGGAAAGAGAAGGGAGGGAGGGCTCACTTTGAGGTAGGCCTCCCAGATGTCGAGGAAAAAGTTGCGGATCCCATCGTCGTGCCGGTGTTCGTGGAGGATGAGAAACTTGACACCTGCACAGCGGAGGGGGTATGGACGGATCAGCATCGGCTGTTGCCAATTTCGAGGGCGGTGAGCAAGGGACACGTACCGCCGGGAACGAGGAAGCAGCTCGTGGACCATTCGTTGATCCGATCCACCTGCTTGAGGTACCTGCTCCGAGTCGGTCCAAGTCAGGGCAGAGGTTCGCAGCGCACGAGGTCAGATACCCTCCTCGTACCGTCCCGATCGCATCGATCCAGGGGGCGCCCGTGTCGAAGCAAGACTCACATCGTACCCGCGCTCGCCGCCCAGTCCTCGACGGCATCGAGGCTGCTATGCGCAATCATCTGGAGCACGTGCTTGTCATTGTAGCGTCCGAAGCCTATCCCCTTTCCCTCCTTCTTGGCGGCGCCCACCCCCGTCGATCCGGACGCCGTCGCAGCAGCGGCAGAGGACGACGACGAGCCGGACGTGCCCGCCGCCAGACCGGACGTGAGGTCCCTCAACGCCGAGCTGAACCCGAACACGCCCCCTCCGCCGCTGCTGAACGAGTCGAACGAAGGTCGCGGCGAGCCGCTGGACCCTGCTGCCTGTGCTGCGGACGAGTTGGATGCGGCGGTGGCGGCGGCGTTCGAGGCCGATGACGACGAGAAAAAGGACGAGGAGCTCGAGGTGCTCGGCTTCGAGTAGAGGTCGGCTTCGTAGAGCGGTATGTCGCGCGGCGAGACGAGGACGAGGTAGTACGACATCTTGCCCCGAGGCCAAGTGCAAGCGAGTCAACGCTGGGGTTGCGAGTGCGGAGGTGAGAGGGTGTGGATGGTGGTAGGGCGGAGCTGGTCGAGAGGCAGCAGAAGACGTGGTCCGCTTTCGGTGAGGAAGCTGGCAGGGTCGTGCGTCCGTGCGCGCGCGTGCCTGGCCTGGCCTGGCCCGGCCTAGGCGTGACCCCCGCGCGACTGACCAGCGAGCCCGCACATCGCCTCGCCTCGTCTCAAGACACCTTCCACAGCAGCCTCGTCACCCTCGTCATCCTCGTCTGCACAGGGCGTCGAGCAGCGCGCAGACAAAGCTCGCCAGGAGGAATGGCTGCGCCATTTTGCCAGAGGGCCACAGGGAAATGCTGGACCGAGGAGGCTGGCCAGTAGGCGTCTCGATCTGCGCTGTCCCTAGCGCCCTCTCTCTCACCCTGCAGCCTCGTGCTGCCGACTGCTCACGGCCCAGAACCCCTTCGCGTCTGGCAGGGTCGTGACTTCGATTGTGGATGCGAGGAAGAGAGAGAGAGAGAGGAAGAGAGGAATGACAGGCAAGGGCAAGAGCGAGAGGACGTAATGTAGAGTGTAAGGTACGGAGGAGCTCGCGGCGGTGGCGGGGAGTCGAGGGCAGGGCCAAGGAGCGTGGGGCGAGGGGGGTCGAGCGGGGGGGAGAAGGGGGCCGGCGAGTCACGGGATGACGGCGCGGCATTGTCGGTGGGGTGCGGCGTTGTTGAGCTATCGTGACACAGGACCATGCGCGGACTGAAGGGACTGGGAGAGGGCCAGGGGAGGCCAGAAGGGGGAAAGAGAAAGAGAAAGACGACGGAACGGCGAAGACGAACAACTGAGCGGACGAGCAGCGGCAGCGGCGACACTGAGGCCGCACTCGGAGCAGATCCGGGGAAGAGGCAAGCGAGTGAAGGGGTGGGGAAGCCAGGGCAGCAGCGCGTTGCCGACGGCGGCGAGGCGTGCAAAGACGATGAGACCTCCCATCGAAGCCCGCCGGCAGGAGCGACCGGGCATGGAGCAACGACGATGGATCGGACTAGTCCTCGCCGTGCATGAGCGTGACGCTCGAGAAGCCGCTAAAGGGATTGGCCACGACCGCGTCGCCCTCCTCGTCGCCGACGTTCTTCTTGCCGGCCGTGGCACGGATCTCGCCGCCGCCACCGCTGGCGCCAGCGCCACTCTTGGTCGTCGTCTGGCCGTCGAGGTTGAGCGAGCGGCTCTCTCGTACCGTGCGGAAGTTGATGGCGTCGAGTCCGTTGCTAAAGGCCGGCACGATCGGCGGCGTCGAGTTGCGCAGCAGTCCCCACGAGATGTTGGAGAACCACTTGTGCGTCTTGACCTCGGACGCGCCCGACTGGCTGCCCATCCGCTTGAGCTCGTCCTTGATCAGCAGCTTGCGGATGAGCGACTTGCCAAACGACGAGATGGGCGTGCTCTCGGAGAAGGGAACCTCGTTGCGGAGCACGTTGGAGAACGTCTCGTTCCTCGACATGCCCTTGAACGGCGTCGTGGCAAAGATCATCTCGTAGATGAGGATGCCCAGCGTCCACCAGTCGACGGCGCTCGTGTGGCCGCAGCCCTTGATGACCTCGGGCGCAATGTACTCCTCGGTGCCGACAAAAGAGTTGGTCCGCAGGTCGGCCGTGCACGACCGCGTGTCGACCAGCGGCGCGCTGTTGGGCGTCGCCTGCCGGATCATGGCGGGAGCGCCGCCGCGCCGCGTGGCCCGCGCCGAGAGGTCAAAGTCGGAAAGCATGACGTGGCCCGACTGGTGCAGCAGGATGTTCTCCGGCTTGAGGTCGCGGTAGATGAAGCCCATCAGGTGGAGGTACTCGAGCGCGGCGATGACCTCGGCGGCGTAGAATTTGGCATCCTCCTCCGGCAGGCACTTGCCGGGCCTCGTCTGGAGCGCGCGGAAAAACTCGCCGCCCATGCAGTACTCCATGCAGAGGTAGAGGTAGTCCTCGGACTGGAACGAGTGGTAGAGGGTGACGATGAAGGGGTGGTTGGACGTGGCGAGGATCTCCTGCTCGGCCATGACGCGCTTGATCTTGTTGCGCTTGATCATCTCCTTTTTCGAGAGCACCTTCATGGCGTAGAGCCGGTCGGTCTTCTTCTCGCGCACCAGGTACACTTTGCCGACGTCGCCCTTGCCCAGCATCTTGACCTTGCTGAAGCTGTTGGGCCCCACCTCGACCTCCTTGACCTTGATGCTGTTGCTGCTGTACGTGCGCCGGAAGCTGCCGGGGCCGCGGTTGGGCCCGTTGGCGCCGTTGACGACGGCGCCGTTCTGGCCCTGGAGCGCCACCAGGTTCTGGGCCGAGCTCGGCGGCTGGATGGTGCCCTTCTTGTCCGCTTTACCTCCGGAGCTCTTGGATCGGCCGGAGCCGGGAAACGAGATGCCGCGGCCGCTCTTGGGCGTCGAGCCCTTGCCGTTGGATCGGCCCTTTTCAAAGTCCTTGCTGCTAAACGACGTGGCGGTGCTGTCCATGCGGACGGGCGAGTTGGGGAAGAAGGCGTAGTTCTCGGCGACCTTGGCCGGCGTTCCGGGCGAGCCTCCCTCGGACGAGTTGAAGTTCGAGTGGTTGCCGGACGGCTGCTCTGGCGACAGATAGCCGTTGCGCGTGGCCGCCGAAGCCGCCGACGGCCCGCCCGCGTCCGCATTGCTGCCGCCTCCGTTGACTCCCGGACCGCCGCCATGCTGGCCGTTGCCAAAAAGCTTGTTGGTGTCGGGAGCGCTCGAGACCTTGCGCAAGAGGCGCGAGGCGAAACTCTGCTGGCCGCCCTCGGCGCCAGCGCCGCCTTCGGCACCGCCGTTGGCGCCCACCTCGAGCGGAGGCTGCAGCGTGCTGCTGCCCGCAGAGCGTTCCCTCGAGTCTGCAGAGGCGTTCTGCTGCATCCGGAACGCCTTGAGCTCGCCAATGGACCCGGATGTCCCGGCGAGGCCCGACGACGACGACATGGTGTGGTCGTTGTAGCCCTCGGACGAGTAGCTGTCGTTGGACAGCGAGCTGGGATCTTGCACGACCGAGGAACCATTCATCGGCTGGAAGGACGGGCCGGGACCACCACTGGCGCCCTGGAACCCGGGATACTCCGACATGTTGGGCGACTCGGTGGAAGGATGCTGCGAGTCGTACCTATCGCTACCCTGCCCGCCCAGACTCCCCTTGCGACCGATGGAGCCGAATTTGAACATCTGCTTCCACTTCTTGTCCTTCCCGCCCGCCCCAGCTCCGGAACCAGAAGCTGCGGCAGCTGGGTGGTAGGATGAAGGTGCGTGCGATCGGCTGTGGTACGAGGCCGGCGACTCGCCGATTGCGGAGACGGCCGAGGGCGAGTGGCGCATGGCCGCTGCAGACGCCGAGGCGCCTTGGCCCCCCGCCGCGTTCGGAAAGGACGAGACGGACTGGTTGGGAGGCGTGCTGTACGCACTGCTCGACTCGTGGACGGGCGTGCCATGGATCGACTGACCCTGAGAAGCGACTACGGATGGCATCATGGGCGCTGGTGAAAGCGACGCTTCGGTCGTAGTGCGCGACAGACGGGCGGAAACGGTCGAGCTCTTGGGTCCGCAACGAGGGCGCCGGAGTTAAGGTGCGCTGGCGAGAAGCGTCGTTGGCAGGGCTGAGAAGGACGAGACGTCCTGCGAGGTGGGGGGAGATGGAAGCGATCGGAAGTTGAGGCGATCGCAGAGGACTAGCGGTGATGTTGCGTGACTGCTGTGACAGATAGCCAAGCGTCTGCGATTCGAATGGCGGACAGGTGGTCGGGCGTTTCGTCGTCGAGTCGCTGCAGTCGAAGCTGTTCTCGTTGCACCGGGCGGCGGAAAGCTCGTGCGCGCGGACGAGTGGAGCAGGGGCAGGCCGAGATGGGGTCGTCGAAGGAGGCGGCCGATGTCAGAGACACGCTACCTGGCGTGAGCGGCAGGCGAATGCGAGCGGCGCGACGTGAGATAACGAGATGTGAGGGTGGCGAGCGGGTCGTTCGCGGACACGCTTCAAGAGGAGACCCTCGGCGGGCGAGGCGGGACGAGGCAAGGCAAGATGCAGCAGAATCCGGCCGGTGAAGGTCGGTGATAAAGCGAGAGGTGCTGCGTCCAAGGAGCCGTCGGGCGCGCGGATGTCGAAGGAAAGCCGGCCAACGCGAGGCTCAGAGTCAAAGGTGTTGATGTGACGGCGAAAGGACAAGGGTCGACGACGGCGCCAGGTGGTGCACGAGGACCTTGGCAGATATCGAACGAGACAGGAATGTCCTCGGGATGGAATGGGCCCGACTTGACGTGGGTGGCACGCTGTGACGAGGAACAGACAGCAACGAAGGAGGGGGGATGAGGGGGGACGGTGACAGGGTCGAGCTTGGGGTTGCCGCGTTGTCGTCGTTGTCGGTTGATGCGGTTTGTCGCCAGGCAAGGCGCTGTCGGCGAGGGAGTTACGTGACGATGCTGGCTTGACGGGTGATGAGGCGGGTGAAGGAGAAAGAGGGCGGCCCGAGAGGATGTGATGAAAGATTCTCGGAGGAAGGGCGACGCAGCGAGGGGGCCAAGGCGACCCGACGACGTATGGCAGGCGGCAGCAAGCAGGTGGGCACGGCTGTGGCCAGGCAGGCAGGCGGGCGGGCACTACAGGTAGTCGTGCGGAGCAGCTGGCGAGGGGGACCGGCAGCTGGAGGGGTGGCAGACGAGACAGGGTAGGGCCGAGGAGCTTCGGAAACGGGGGGAGGCCAGGAGGCAGGCAGACAGGCAGGCAGGCAGGCAGGCAGGCAGGCAGGCAGAAGCCAGGCCAGGGCCAGGGCCATGCTCAGGTTGGGCCAAGCAAGCGCCACAGGCAGGGACTTCAGACCAGCAGAAGTCAGGTTCGGGGCCCGCTAGGCCAGGCCAGGCCAGCCGGCCGGCCTTGGAAGTGGGGCGAGGGCGGCAGTGGGCGTCCGTCTTGGGCCCGGCCCAGGCACGAGGTGGCGGGGGCACCTCACGCTGCGCAGCCCAAGCTGGGACAGACAGGCCGGCCTTGGTGCCCCTTGAATTCAAGAAATTGGGGTCTCCTCCCTCGGCTGGGCCGTGCCCATTACTCACGGAAAACCCGCCGGTCGGCCCGCCAATACAAAAGGGCAGCGGCTAGGCGGCCGGGCTTGGCCGCCTGTAATACAAAACGATGCCTTGAGGGCACGCGCGCCCGCCCGCACGCACGCACGCAGCCCTCGCACGCACGCAGGTCTGCCCACCTGGCAAGCCGCAAGCTCGCCGTGGCCGTGGACCCGCGCACGCACGCACATACACACAGACACACGCACGCCTCCTCGGCCTGCCGGTCGTTCGGAAGCGAAGGTGTGACGAGCGAGCATGCGAAAAGGCCTCCATCGTGGCGCCAGAATTGAGGACGGCTGTCCCCGGGACGTCTCACCATCGAGTTGTGAATCTGGCTGCTTGTGTGTCTGCCTCTCGACTCGACCGTCCGGCGTTTGGAAAGGCGAGCAGGCAGGACGGAAGCAAGCAAAGCAAGCAAGCTAGGCGCGAGCGAAGGGGTACGTGGGCCGGCTGCTTGGGGAAGCCGTCCGCGGGCGGGGCTTGCCTCAGCGCTTGCCATCCTGCGCTGTATGACGGGCGCGGCGCTGCGTCTTTGGGCCTCCGCCGCCTTGCCGCTGCTCTGCTTTTGCCGGTCGGTGCGAGGAGGGTGGGAAGAAAGAGGCGTCCGTCCGTGCTGGCCCTAGCCTGCCTGGCTGGCCTGGCTGGCTGGCTGGCTGGCTGGCTGGCTTGATCGGGCGGCAACGGCGTCCCCCGCGACCTCCCCTCACTCCCGGGCCCCCTTGCACCGAAGACGCACGCCCAGCGCCCTCAACACTTCAATATTTTTCCGACGTCGCCCTGCTCGAAGGCCTAGGGATCCGCTCCGTGGGGAGATGCTGGGCCGTCAGCCCAAAAGGTCAGTCGGGGCGAAAGGGGGGTACCGTACCTACAGGCGGCACCGTCTGAGGAAGGCGGGAGCGTGGTGGGCGTCTCGATTGGCGAGGTCAGAGGCACGCCTCGATCCTCCCTTGCGCGCCACCTCACCTGCCTGCTGGGGTCGGGCCACCGGTTCTATACCTGCCCGCTAGGTACCGGTAGCGCTGGACTTTTGCGCGACGCTCGGACCAGGCCGACGATCCCCGCCTCGCTCGGCGAACGTCGATCTCGAAGCCAGGTGCCGGGGCGGCCGCTTCTTCCGGCTGTCTGCCTGTCTGCAGCTTCCTGGCCTTATCTCCGTCGTGTCGTCGTCTTCGCCGCCGCCGGCGTCGTCCACGAGGGTGGACTGCTCGATGCCATCAAGGTGGGGGCGGGTCGGCCTCTATGTGTGTGGGGTTACAGCTGTCGGCAACGCGATCAAGAGGAAGGGGGGGGGGGGGGGGGCCG